GTTTGACAAATGAGGTTGGTAATTCTTGATCCATGACTTATTTAATATATGTATAAGCCAGATAATTGCTTCTTCTTCTTCAACATAGGGAAGTGACTGCAAACGAAAACACACGTTAATCTAATTAAGTAGAGTAACAATTAGCGTGAAAGCATTGTATTGTCTGGTTCAATATTTGTTTAAGAACATATACAGGGTACCTTGAAAGTTGATTAAAAAAACCACTTGTCGGTATGGATGGCATATTGTCTTGGGTCAAGTCTTACCGGTGTGTCCAGTGCGAATTGACATAGTTTCGATAGAGGTTGAATAAGGCACTCGTAACTCCTGTTATAGGCCTGTGTCCCGGTTGTCCAAGGCCGACTCCGACTGCTTTTGCTGATGATACATCTCGTTAAAAGTCTTGTTCTCCAGCAGTCAGAACGTTTAAGTGAGTATAGCGTACCCTAAAAACAGTCAACCTTAAAATTATTGGGTCTTGACTTAATGGGTTGATAATTGTGTTGCTAAACAATTTGTCGATGACGGATTGGCGATTAGAAATTTTAAGTCCAAGTTGTCTCGCGATGTTTTCCTTCATAATTTCTAAGAGGTGTCTAGATTAACTAAAAAAGTGCATAAACATTACTTGGAAAAAGTCAAATTGGTAACCCGTGCTTTAGTACACGATATCTGGCATTTACCCAATATGATATATATGATATGTATATATATGATATATATATATGATATATAATATGATATTGACGTGCAAACTAATTGGCAAGGTAAATAACGAGGATATGAGTTTAGCTGCTAGTTGGATTTCACTGTGACCCTCTTAAGTTGGAATTGCGACAGAAGTGATCCTGAAGATCATGTCGGAGGATGATTTGAGTAGAAAGTTCAGCACACATTAGCTTCATCCCTTAACCAATAACATTTTCTCAACTTCTTGTTTTAGGGCTGATTTTTCAATGGTTAGATAAAAGTTACCTGGCGAGTAATAATGATGCTGTCGCGTCGAATGTGTGTATTAGGCAGTGGCAGCAGAACATTTTTTTCCTCAGATAACATTTATCTGACTATTGAAAATTCAGATGTTAATTTAATATTTTTTTTGATCCGACCGTTTAAGCAGCCACCCATGTAACGTAACTAACACATCAATTGACACTTCATATTATCTGCTAATTTACGACATGCCCTCTAGAATGAAATAAAACAAACAGACAGACAAACGACAGAAGTTTGCACTTTATATGTATTACGTGGATTTGGGAAAACACTATTATCGGGCATAAAAGCGATTGATAATTATGTTTTCATACCTCGATAAATAAGTTAGTTGGGCTGCGGTCGGAGACGCATGCGTGTTGGAATTCATTACAGTCATTTGTATTGGAGAATTTAAAATGTAAGTTGAATTTATTTTCATTTTTTTTATAAAAAAATCATTCTCTTTTTGCCCGAAGGTTAAGACGCCCGCTCCTCATGCAAGAGGAGGTGGGTTTAAAGGTTTTAAACCCACCCAGCAAGTAACAACGTGACTTTTTCAGAGATGTATGTACTTACTTGCTAAGTCTGTTTAGACAACAAACATCTGCGGTGAGAGAAACATTGTTGTTAAACTAAACAACTTATAAATTAAAATTAAATGTTATAAATTGCTAATGCAACTATTGCTAGCGTGGTGATTAATGCTCAAACATTTTCCATGTGAGGAGGATTTTGCACAGCAGTGAGCACCCATAGGTTGTTGATGTGATGTGAATTAAAAATCATCTATCGATTAACCCGTAGCATCGAAATATATTCCCGAACGAAGATCCACGCGAGACACAATGTATTTTCTATTGTTTGTCATTATACTGGCAGACAAGAGGTCGACTTTATTGTGTAAATATTACAAGCTGAAAGTGAATTGTAATTAGAGTTACCTTAATTTAGTTAATACTAAGTTAAACACATTTGAGTAATAAGGAATATAAAAATATTAATTACCGCTATTATATTTTACTATTATAAGTACAAAGTATATATTATTATTTAACTCATGTATATTTACTGGTCTAATAATATCATTTTTGAAGTTAGAATATAAAACTGTGATAAAATGAAACATTTTTCTGGCCGGTTCGTCCGGAGTAATAGTGTGTGTGGCCTCAACGAAAACCGGCGTGAAAAAACGCTCGCATTGTGTTTAGCTGTGTGAGGTTGAATTGTTCTTTCTCCTACCTTTCTCTCACTTGTGCCTATACCACCAATTCTCCAAATCCCTAAATCCGTTGCCTATTTTTCATATCCTTTCATTATCAAGGAAAAAATGGGGATTATCATAAGAAACAACAGTTTAGTAAATCCACTGTTATCAGTGTACAGAGTAGTGTGATTTCTTTAAATGAAAACATTGATAAATATATTGTGATAGTGATTTATTTTGAAGGTAATCAATCGTTTGTCTTGTTATCAAGTATTATTGTAATCGTAAACTGATGGGTTTTCACTGAATATGTCTTAAAGCGTGTGGTAAAACCCAAATTGGGCCAAGGACTGAAATATCAGTAATTAGTAGTTTTTGTGGGTTTTTTTTATATGATAGGTCAGCATACTAGCAGATTTCTTTATTTTTTTTAATAGGGAAAATCACTTCTCTCGTGGAAGGCCGCGGTATCTTATTGTGCTTGACCCCCGACTGATGGAAAGCAATTGACGCCGCCCATGAACCTGAGGCGTGCGTTGCCGGGCTTTTGGGAATTAGTGTTTCTTGGATTTAGGGATTGGGCCTCTCCTAATGGCGAAACACAACGCTGTGGTTATTTCACTCCGGTCTACTGTGTGATATCAAGCCAGAAGTGTAATAAGTGCAAATATTTAAGTTACATTTAATAGAAGTGTTAAAAATGCAGTTGCGTTGCGTTGGTCAGCCTTATAGCATTGAATGAGAATAAGTATTCTTATAGATAAACAATTTTGACAATCCTATAATATAGTATATTGTTAATCAAGTTTTCATTCAAGTTTTATGCAATCAATAAAATTATTTCAATAAGTTTAGGTAACAGTATGTCTCTCAGTCCGAGGCATTCGCTCAGAGAATTATTTAAGGAAACTAAGATAATGACGGTTGCCTCACAATATATTTATGAAAATGTAATTCACGCTCATAAAAACAAAAGCTTATTTAAGAAGCATAGTGATATACATAATATTAACACGAGGGGGAAAAACAAATATGTTGTCCCCGCCTCCAGGCTTCAGAAAATAAGTAGTTCGTTTAGATGTCAATGTATACGCTTTTACAATAAAATTCCTAGGGATATTCAAAATTTGAGCCTCAATAATTTTAAAAGTGTAATAAAGGCTAAACTTTACTGTAAAGCATTTTATAAAATAAAAGACTACTTAGAAGATAGTCAGGCTTGGGAATGAGCCGCTGTAACTTCTGCACAGGTCATGTTGACATGTTTGTAACATAAGTTACGCTTTTTATATACAATTTGACATTACGTTTATTTTTTTAACAATGACATTATCACCTATTGTGACATTTTTATTTTTATTTGACATTTTTTATTTTATTTATTATTTTTATAATTATTTATTGACATTATTATGTGTGTTCCTTTCCACTCACGGGACCACAGGGTCCCGGACTTTTGGAAGGCGTACGAGGGGCCGAAGCCAACTCGCAGAGGCCCTTTGAACAACTTTAATATAAGTGAAATGGGACATCAGCCGGCAATTATCCCTGTATGCACTATGAAAGTGCACCCAAGGACAATCCCCGGTTGATGCAAGACTATTGCGAAATGTGGTAAAAATTTAAAGGGTTATGGGTATGGGTTGCTATGGACTGATGAATATGATAACTATGGAAATACTATGGCCCCTGCCCCTGACCAATATTGATACATACGGATAAACAGGCAGGGGGTGACTGGCAAACTCAATTAATGGGCCCCCGGAAACGGCCGCTAGCATGTAGCGACAAGGGGGCAACATACGTTGAGCTGCTTGGGGAAGGAGAGGTATCCCACGGCTATCAGAGCAATCCCGGAAGTACGGTCAAGACCCCTACCAGCATCTTACTGAGATACATCCTTCCCCCGAGTCTCCTTCAACTCCTACTCTTGCGAATCTCCACTCAAGCCAGCCAATTAAGGCAAGAATGAGGTAGGAGGGCTTGTTCTTCATCAGTGTTCACTCTAGCTCGTCACGAGGACTAACCGGAGGTGAAGAACAAGACACCTCCCGGGAGTCAGGTCCGTGGGGTCGCCACTGCCCAACAGCTCGCCACAAGCTGCCTTGCGGATTTATTGACATTATTATTATTTTCTATTATTGTTAGTGTAAGGACCGTGTGAGACTTGCCGCGCTTTTGGACTACCAGTTATCTGCGTTCTGACAGTTTGAGTACTTGCGTGACCCAACCAAATGTTCTTTAGATCGGTATTGTTCGTCGGACAACTCAGCAGCACTTGCTATGCTGGTTGCAAACTGACACTTGCGTGCCTGTCTTCAGAACGGGTCCACTTAAACTGGTGTGGTTCTTTCATCAAAAGACCACTACAGAATGAACTTGCACGGTTCTCTCACATTATGTTATTTTTACATTGTCTGGACTTGAAAAGAGACTGACCTCTGAGTTTGTTTCGGCATTTCTTCTCAGAGTAGTCAGATAGGAAATGCCGGCTTCATCTAGTTTTTTACATATAAATTGACGTGTAAAAGTGCCGTTTTATGGCCTATTTGCAAAAATAAATTCATTGTTTCATTGTTTCATTGTTTCATTGTCTGGGTACTATTTTTGTGAAACAAATTCAGTAAAAAAATAAAAATATGTAAGTACTAGTTTTTATGTTTTTACTGAAGTTGTTTCTCTGGATTCCTCGTTAACATTGATGTTACGATTACAACAGAAACTTTCACATCACTCACCACCTTTCGTGGACCAAATTATGGTTGTGTGCCAGATTCTATTCATAAACTCCTCTGTAGAAACATATTAGGTTCTAACATCTGCTGATAAATATGTTTCAGAAAGCATGAAGTGCCTACCGGTGGGGTGCCACGCCTACAGCCAGGGCGCTGCTGGCACCGCCTTCACTCAGCTGGTGACGCACTTCCTCGCCTCTCAGTGCCTCATCACTGAGCAGTGGCCCACCGACTACTCTTATGGATTGTCCAGTAAGTTGAGAAAGAACTCTAAAACAGATATAGATGGATTCAACTACAGCTAATTAACAGTTAATATTATATCTCTGTCTACGAAATATACTCAGGATGGATGGTGATGGATTTCCAATTGTATTGTAAATTCTATCTTATCCAGTAGCAGATCATGTTTGAATAGTTTCACTTTACATTTGCAGGTGGAGACACGTTTGACTTCATTATCGTCGGCGCCGGTACGGCTGGTTCCTTACTGGCGAATAGACTGTCTGAAGTTGAGGAGTGGAAGATTCTGCTGATCGAAGCTGGCGGAGATCCTCCCATGGAAAGCATTGTGAGTAGTGCGTTATATGCCTTTTAAAATAAGATTCATTTTTTGACAGTGTGTGTAATTTTCATTTATCAACTTTCAGATTCCTAACTACGCAACCGCAACACACAGAACTCGAAACGCTTATCAATATTACACGGAACAAGAAGATAATATCCATAGAGGAGGTCTCGACAGGCGCGCGTACTGGCCGCGCGGCAAAGGTCTCGGAGGTACTAGCTCTATCAACGGTCATCTTCATATGCGAGGCAGTGCAGGCGACTACGCTCCTTGGCACATGTCAGAGGACGATGGTTGGGACTGGCCGACTTTGAGAGAATACTTCAAAAAGAGTGAGAAAATGGTAGACCCTTTCATTCTTAACAACCCAGAACTTAGAAAAGAACATGGAACAGAAGGTGAGTTTGTTGTGGATCAACTGAACTTTACGCACGGAGACATCGCTGAGAGACTGACTGACGCTTACAAAGAATTGGGATTGACATACTTGGATGACTTGAATGGTCCCACGCAATTGGGTGTCGGAAAACTTAGAGGTGCAATTCATAAAGGAAGGCGAGTCAGTTCTGCTACAGCATTCTTGAATACCGCTAGGGAACGTAAAAACTTAAAAGTTATGAAATATTCTTTTGTTAAAAAATTGGAAATTGATGCGAAGAACAAGACTGTAAAGGGCGTCACACTTTCCCTTTTGTACGGTGATGTAGAAACATACTTTGCAAGGAAAGAGGTTATAGTGAGCGCTGGAGCAATAAATACTCCTAAACTGCTAATGATGTCTGGTATCGGACCTAAAGCACATCTTAAAGAAATGGACATTAGGTTAGTGACCGATCTACCAGTCGGAAAGAATCTCCAAGACCATGTTCGTATACCAATACCGGTGACAGTAGATACTGGAGCTGAGAGGAGAGGCGAGGAGTTTTGGCAGAAGGCTGCAGCCCAGTATTTGATAGACCAAACAGGACCACTCGCAACTAATTATGATCAGCCTAACATAAATGCATTTTTGTCCGTCACTGGTGACAAAACTCTACCCGATGTTCAAATAGACCACAACTACTTTTTGCCCAACACTTCATACATACATTCTATGTGCAAAGATACATTTTCTTTCAATGACAGCATCTGTAAGCAATTCGTGGAATTTAATAAAGAGAAAGAAATGTTCATATTCTTTGTAGCGCTCTGCCGCCCTCACTCGAGAGGCGAAATACTGATACGCGGCAAGAATGCGATGGAGCATCCCAAGATTTTTACGAGGTACTTAAATGACTCACGCGACATGGAAACCTTCGTAAAAGGTATTAAAAAAGTAATGGAAATTGTAAAGACTCCAACATTTAAAAATATGAAAGCTGAAATAAAGAGGATTTACTTTGAAGGCTGTGATGACTTTGAGTTTGAAAGTGATGACTACTGGGAATGTATGGCCAGGACTGTCACTTACCATGTCTACCACCCCGTGGGCACTGCTATGATGGGCAAGTCGAGAGAATCTGGAGCAGTAGTTGACAGTAGACTGAAGGTGTTCGGACTCAAGAACTTGAGAGTGGTGGATGCTAGCGTGATGCCCACGATACCTAGCGTTAACACTAACGCTCCCACTATGATGATTGCTGAAAGGGCAGCAGACTTCATCAAGGAAGATTATCAAAGAGGAACAATCGAAAATCAAAGAGATGAATTGTAGTTCTTTGTCTTACGATGTCATTGTCTATAATCCCTAGTAAGTATGTAATATTAATTGTTATGCTGTGCTAGTCAATTCATTAACTAATGTGGTGTTAATACTATGGATTGTTAAATCTGTTTTATTGCATAAAAACATTTGAGTAAGCATATATTATAAATATTGAATAAGAATAAATAGTATTTCTCATTTTTGCATATTTTATTGTATAAATCCTACAAATCTAATATACTTATTTACAGAAGAATATTATTTGATGAGTTTGACTCGACCACGTTTATCATCATTAGATACAGATGATTGAGAAGTAGTATCAGAAGTGGTATTGGACTCTTCTTCTCTAAGGTTAATCTGACTGCCTAGGTCATGTATTCTGTATCTTTTCTTTTGTTTTATCTCCTTATCAATTCTCTGGCAGATGTCCACAACACTGTCACGCATCTCTATCGGCAAGTCCTTCACAATCACTTCTCTCAATAGACTGTTGGTTACGTCTCTACGTGTTGCGAAGCTTCTGTGTACTGACACGTTAGTATTTACTGGTTTCCAACACATGAAAGTATTACCCATTTCTCCTTTCGTCCATTTTGAATAGCACCACATTGTCGTGTGAATACAGCACACGAGAGACAGGAGCAAGCCACAGATAGCAATCACGTAAGAGACTATTGATAGTAAGGCATTTGTACAGCATTCTTCGTACCCGGACGTGTCTCCGTTGAACATCGGACACAGCTTTCCATACATCATGTCTTTTAACATGACCATATTCTGTGATATCGTTGAACAGTTTGATTTCATCCGTATCTTCAAATTATTGTAATGTGATGTTGCTTCAGTCACAACGCCAAGGCCTGTGCTGATAGCGTATATGTCTCCAACTGTGATGGGGTGGTCTAGGTCTCGACAAATGTTATTTTTGGGCACGTACACTATGTCAGGGAGCGCCTTGATCACGTTGGTATCGCAGACGGGCGCGCTGACGCACTTGTTGCGTTTGTCAAAGTACGGTCTCCGGCCGGCGTACTTCAGGTCACAGTTGACAGCTTCACACTCATGCAAGGGATCTTCATCGAGCGAAGCACACTCGCTGCCTTTTACATCCATATACGCTTTAAGATACTGTGAATCCTTTTTATTAGCGAATTGTGTATCAAATGGTATTTTGACAGCCACTTGTCTGGACCGCCGCCTGTTTCTGCCACATTTGAAGTCTATGACAAAGTCGCAGTACCCGACCTGGTCGTATTGGTATAGTGTGGGGTATACATACACCAAGGTTTCTCTACTGTTAGGTTTGATAAGTTCCTCGTTGTCTCCTGGAATCGCATCTAAATTACAATCTTTGTAGTCTTCATCAGCTAGGCAGCACATTTTTGGCCACGAGTTGACTTTGCATGCTACAAAGTGATTGTTGTTCTCAATGTCGATAAAGAATTGTATTCCAATAGATCCTTGTTCCAGAGGATATATGCCGTGGTCTAACACTGATATGAACGCTACAACTTGTTGAGTTATCGAGTCAAATACAATGAAATACATGCACGCGAATAAATGTACAAACATTTCTCGTCGGACATTTTAAATTGACAACAAAATCATAGACTGACAGCTATGAGAAGAAACTTTTTCACTTAAAATAATTTATTTTATTTTCTGTTCGCAAGCAGCTGTCAAATTTAAGATGATTGAGATGTTAAGATGAAAAATTTTAGTGTAAGTTTGTAAACCCACGGGAAAAGCTAGTACGGGGCAACGTTTAAAGAGCATATAGTTAGAAGTTTAAAAATCATAGAAAGTTTGGAAATAACCGTATTTCGTTAAAAAAATATTTCCCATCGCATCTATAAGTACATATAATAAAATCGTAGGAAAGTCAAAACTGTACATTGAATATATTTTTGAAATAATACTTGGGGCGTGATGTACAATCGATACTGAAGCCAAAAATATGGTTTTTAGAATTTTTGTCTGTTTGTCTGTATGTTTGTTACGGATAAACTCAAAAAGTACTGCATGGATTAAATTGAAATTTTGTATGAACATAACTGACAGGTCTGTTCATCACATAGGCTACATATTATCACGCTATCACCTACGGGGGATGAGTAATGAACCTTTATATCTGTAAACCTTACTGAAGCAGCATGTAGTGTTACCTCATACACATTTAAATTACGTTTGTAAGCAGGTTGTTTGACAGGACGTGCTATCACAAACCTAGACACAAAAAAAAAGAAATATAAAATAAAACATAGACTTATATTGGTAAAATTGTTGCTTCGGAATTCATACAATATTTTTATGTATAATTATAAACATAGGTGTGATGAAGAACTAGCATTTTTTTTATTCATATGCGGTTACGTTTTTTTCACGTTGAAAACGTATTCAGTCGTAATTGAGAAATTATTATTGTTTACCATATAAAAATGTTTCCATTTTCCTAACTAGATGGTGTTGGCGTCGAATTAGATCGCGCTATGGTTTCGTTCACAAAAAGTGATGTTATGTCAAAAAAAAAAAAAAAGTCAAAAATCATTTATTCCAATTAGACCTTTACAGGCACTTTTGAACGTCAAACAAAATATAAAATAAAAAAATAGTGTCAGTCTGTCGGTCAGTCCTCTTAGTGAAGCTATTTGCTCGTTCCAAAGTGTAGATTCCGATGGAGAAGAACGAGCAAGAAACTCCATGGTTACTCTTTTTAAATCAGTTTCACATACAGATTCCTTTTACAAACAGTTGGTTCAATTATGTGAGAACAGTGTAACACTAATATTTATTCAAATATAAAAATAAAGTAACCTTAAGGACAATAGACAGTCTGGAGCTGACCAGTCCCAACTGACGGCGCTCGTTCACGAGCATGACACGTACACCAGCATCGCCCAACTCAACCATATTATAGGGAATTAAGCGATCCAGTGCCCATGCCACCGCCAGTGTGACCTTTCAGTGAGCATGACAACTCCAAGCTGTTATAAGGACCGACATTCTGCTAGTCTAACCAATTATAATAGGTTACAGGGCACTCACATTTACAAATTTATCAAGTTATAGTTATACAATATAATGCAATTTCACTAAAATGAAGAAGTCCCGTTCAAGCAAAATCCATTGGAACGTTATTTATTTTGGTGTACGTTTGCTATCCTGTGGAGCAGGACCAGCATGTCTCCAAGCATCTTTATCTACAATGTAATCATTCAGTGTGTAGTATGCTTTTCTACATAAAGTTTTCTTTACACATAATTTAAAATTTCTTTCATTTAATTGTTGTATTTCGCCTGGGATTTTGTTATAACATTTTACACAGAATCCCATGAACGACTTATGTACCTTTGCCAATCTAAATAATGGCTGACATAATCTATCTCTATGTCTAGTTTGATAATTATGTCTATCTGACACCTTATCGAATATTTTTAAGTTTTTCCTAACATACATAATGTTTTCATAAATAAACTGACATGGCACGGTCATAATATTGATCTCTCTAAACTTTTCTCTAAGAGACTCACGACGCCTTAGATTGTAAATAGCTCTGATGGCACGCTTTTGCAAGACAAAGATAGACTCAATGTCAGCAGCCTGTCCCCACAACAAGATGCCATACGACATAATGCTATGAAAGTAGCTGAAGTACACCAGTCTTGCAGTGTCCACATCTGTTAGCTGTCGGATCTTCCAGACAGCAAATGCTGCAGAGCTCAACCGTCCTGCCAGAGATGTGATATGGGGCCCCCATTGTAGTTTGTCATCTATGGTTATACCCAGAAAAGTAGTTTGTTTTACAAATTCCAATTTATTACCGTTTAATAATATGTCACATTCGGTACTTTTAACATTTGGCAAACTGAATCGTATACATTTAGTCTTTTTGTCGTTTAGGACTAAATTATTAATTGTAAACCAATTATGAACCTTCGTTATAGCATTATTTACGTCGTCATAATTATCTGTCCGTCTATTTATTTTAAAAATCAACGATGTGTCATCAGCAAATAATACCATTCCCGGTTCACGTTGAAATAAATGAGGTAAATCATTTATGTACACTAAAAACAGGAAAGGACCTAATATTGAGCCCTGTGGTACGCCCATAGATATGCTAGTACCCTGGGAGTTCACTTTATTTACTTGTACTTTGAACTGCCTATCCTGCAGGTATGATTTTAATAAATTGAGAGATACCCCTCGAATGCCATAGTGTTCCAACTTCAGCAACAGTGTCGTGTGTTCAACGCAATCAAAAGCTTTAGACAGGTCACAAAAAATCCCAATAGCGTCGTTTGACTTTTCCCATGAGGCAAAAACATGCTTAAGTAGAGCTACACCGGCGTCAGTTGTGCATCGACCCTTGGTAAACCCATATTGTTGGTCATGAAAGATGGAATTTATGTTAAAGTGTCGTAGCATCTGAGAAAGCATTAGCTTTTCAAACACTTTACTAAGCACTGGTAAAATTGATACCGGCCTATAATTATTGGGATCATTGTCATCGCCAGATTTAAACAACGGAACTACCTTGCTAAGTTTCATCAAATTTGGAAAAACACCCTGATCTACACTTTTATTAAAAATTACAGCTAAGTAAGGCGCTATAGCTTCTATAAAAGACCTACACACCACAACAGACATTCCCCATAGATCCTCTGTAGACTTAACTTTTATGTCTTTAAACGCCTTTATTACTGATTGCGGGTCCGTGTACTGAAATCGGAAGCCAGAACGGCATTCTTTAACATTTCTTTTAAGAAGACTAATAGAAAGTGCCGGAGATGATTCTAAGTCTTTCGTAGTTTTAATGGGGATATTCTTGAAAAAAAATTCGAATTCTTGGGCAACTTCTTGATTAGCATTAACTCGTCCATTATCCGTATTTAAATTAAATTCCGTGTTATGCAATTTATTTCTGCCTGTCTCGTTATTAATTACCTTCCACGTAGCTTTTGTTTTATTTTCAGCATTTTTAATCTTATTGCCAATATAAAGTGATTTAGCTTGCTTACAGACTGTTTTAAATATTTTTGCATATTTGGACACATGCTTGCTGAAGGCTTCACTAGTATCAAATGGTTTCATACCATATAGCTCAAATAACCTTTCCCTACTTCTACGAATACCTGGGGTAGCCCAGTCACAGAATACAAATTTACACTCAATAGTTTTTCAATCAATCAATGAAAGCATTCTCTCAGAAATTGAGGGGAATGAAGTGGTGTACACCTCCATAAACACCGTAGTCGAGCAAGATGACGCCACACACTATCCGGTGGAATTTCTCAACTCCCTCACAGCAAGTGGACTTCCAGCACATAACATCAAGCTGAAGGTTGGCGTCCCGATCATGCTTCTTCGGAACCTGTCTCCTCCGAAGTTGTGTAACGGGACCCGCCTTAAAGTCATCTCACTGCATAGAAATATTATCGAGGCGGAAATTTTGACGGGTTGTGGCGTCGGCGAGGCAGTGTTTATACCACGCATTCCCCTCATACCTCATAACTACCCCTTCCAGTTCAAGCGCGTGCAGTTCCCTGTGAGTGTTTGCTTCGCAATGACTATCAATAAATCACAGGGACAGACACTGAAGGCTGCGGGTGTCGACCTAAAGACGAGCTGCTTCTCACACGGACAACTGTACGTCGCTTGCTCCCGCGTCACCAGTCCTGACTCTCTATACATTTTGGCTACTGAGAGCAAAACTACAAATGTAGTTTATAGAGAAATTTTATAATTGTGTTTCTTTAAATTCTGTTATTCGTGGGATGTAGGAATTAAACCATTTCAAAATTCACCTGCGCTATGAGAGGTACTCATGAGGTGAAGTTATACTGCAGCGCCAACTGCAAGGGAATGTGATCTTAAAAGTTGCTCACTAAAAAACTACACTTAACACGTTAAGCGCCATGGGGGTCACCGGTGACCTCCGTTAGCGGAGGATTTGCCTTCAACATTTTTCTGTCGTCAGACAAAGGCTTAAAATGACGCAGGCATAGTATTTTTGGTGCTTCACGGCGTTCGCGCGGACGAAGTCGCGGGCAACAGCTAGTAAAGAATAAACGTGAGTATGTGTTAATGTATCAAAAGGTATATCCGTATTCATCAATGCTAAAGTGATTACAACGTTAAACCAATTTAATTAAAAAACAAAGGAATACATTCAATTGTAGTTCTTTCATCAGCTTAAGTTCAGGTCCATTGAGAGATCTATCTACACTGGGAAAGGTTTAAATAAAACATTCAACTGATAGACAAATGTGAAGACTTCAGATATCTATTGTCTCAATTATTTATTATGTTTTCGGCTTACTCACGTAATAATTTGACGAGATACTCGACTAGTTTCAAGGGAAACTCGCCGCAACATCACAACCAGACTAAAAGAACACATACGCAGTGTGAAAAACCGAGACACCCATACATCGGCGGTAACTGAGCATGCTTGTAGTACGGGCACGGCTCACTTCCTCCGTTTCGACAAGGTCTCAGTACTAGCGAGGGAAAAATACTTCGTACCGCGGAAAGTACGTGAGGCCATCAAAATAAGCCGGCGTCCGAACTTCAACAGAGACGTGTGGCTGGGCATTACCACCTGCCTGGAAGCCGAGTCTGAAATCTGCGTTAGACTGCACTGTTACGGGTCTGGAGTGTGACACAGTTAGCGCGGTATGTAACACTGTTTTTTCGTCGACCCGGGATTCGAACCCAACACCAACGCAGCTGCAGGCGGGCGAGTCTAGCGTGCCAACAGTGTCGCGCGCGCCGTCGCTGCCGACACCACGGATAGAAGAAAGTGCGCGTGAATCGCGCAGACTCGAGTAGCCAGTAGCAGCGCGACAGTCGCCGAGTCGCGTGTCGCGGAATGCTGCTCATGAATATGGGCCTCTAGCATGGCTTGAAACTAGTGGAGAATCTCGTCAAATTATTACGCGAGTAAGCCGAAAACATAATAATTAATTTAGAATGTCTCACGAAAGTTATAATAAATATATCTATTGTCTCCTCACTATATCACGATTTATTCCGCACACTTCGGACGAGTGCAACGTTCATACTTAATTTCTCCACTGCTTAATGGATGTATAAAAAATTATACATAGGTAGGTACTTAAATAATATTCCTGTACAATCAATTGCGTAGTTTTAAAGCTTTAAGCATGCATAGGTATATAGGGACAGAGGAAGCGTCTTTGATTTATTATGCTATGTAGTGAGGTTTTTTCTAATTTTAGATATGATGTGTTCCTTAAAACAATCTTCAAAGTTGTACGCAAATATGCTACCATCTTTTTGACCAACTTATCGATCGTAACTTCTTTCAATAAAACTCTACCTACCTGTTGTGTTTTCATGTCAAACTCACTATTACCTAAGCGCGAAAACCACGATAGGGTCGCACTGAAACCCGTAACATGTAAACAAATATCGCAAGTTCCCACCGAGTATACAGTTAGGGAAAGCGTTTGATCTGTTTTAACAAATTGATGTGCGGTAACCCCTAAACCTCAAGTCAGCCCCAGGGACCAGACCACCAGCGTGAAACGTGAATTACCGTTTGTCCCACCCGAGGTTGAAAATTGTGTATTTATATTATATTTCGCTTTGATATGGAATCTTTTGTATATTGTGGTGTGTGTCGTATTCTCGTAATTCGTGAAAGTGCAATCCTCTAGTTTTGGTTAGACGCGTAAAGATTATAAATACAATTCTATTATACATCAAACATTTTAGTCTCAATATACCTGAATTTTGAATAAAAATCAACAAAATCGACAACCCGGTTAATAGAATAAAAATGTTTACGAACTTAATAACGAAGATAGTTGGAGCGCATGTATCCTTCTCGGCATCTCGAGCGCAAATGAGATTCCTACGACCGTGGCGCCGACGGAGGAGACCGCAAACCTGATTTCCCGCGCTCCTGCCCGATAATTATAGGAAATTGGCGGGAACGCCGCAGCCAGACGCCCAGCACCGCATGTAATTATGAGAGATTAAATTTCATTAACACGAGAATTTATCAGCTAGAACAATATGATAGCTACGTCTAGTGTGGGTTCAGAATACTGTGATTAGTGCTCACACTGATCGGTGAAGTTTCTATCAACATGAAGTAATATAGATTTCTTTTGAAATATCAAGCTAAGCCGATGAGATTTGTTTAATACAATTTTAACAAAGATGATTACGTTTCTGTGCAAAAGGCCGACGAATCGCCTCGCTTTTCCTTGTTCAAAATAATTATTATTTGAATTGCTTTTAAAATTATTTTTATCGAGCAGCGGGATGAAAAACTCATTTCACTTAAGCCATCCATTGAAAAAATTAAAAGTCCGCGCCAGTTGAAGACCTTTAAATTTCCCAAAGAAATTTAGAAAGTGAACACAGAGTCTTTGACTTGGGTATTAAGCTTTAGTAACAATAATTCAGAACGGAGGAGAATTAAAACTTTTTAATTACGAATTCGGTGTTGCTTTGAACAACACTTTCCTTATTAAAGTGAAGACTTGACTCTGCGCTAACTGGGATAACAAATGCCTTTTGTTTACACTTAAGTAGGAAGTATTTATTACCAAGTTGTTTTAATTAGTCCGTGTTACGACGGCACGGGTTAACAACAATCATTTTCGCTGATCAATTTATTTTTAACAATTTTTGGGCGTCGCTTTAACGAAAAGAGTTTGAATTATTGCCAGTTTATGGTTCAGTCCTGTCAAATTGATGTTTAATCACTGTTTACAATCTTTATTTTCTATTCCGTGTTTACAATGAAAACACTGTAGCACAAACTGTCACAACACAACTCTATTTCGTTTTGGACGCTGCAAACATTTTAGGCTAAGAATGATACAATTGCCGAAAAGCAAACCGGATCCAAAGGATGCCAACCTGTGCAAGTGAGACTTTTGTTTTGTGATATATCTTAAGATACGAGTCTTTTATTAATTTTCTGTTTCTAATATTAACAACAATTGAGTTGCGTGCTTTTTCGGATTTTTTTATGTAAACTGCGGTAGGTAATGATCCTAAATCTCAAAAAGTAGTTAGCTGAAATCAGTGTACAATTTGAAATTTGTCATATTTTCATAGAAGTATGAACTTGTAGATGTCGTCCAGTGTGCAAAAATCGGAGACGAAACTGGAAGGGAGAGGTCCAGAACACATCAGCGGAGCTGCTGCTGGAGAGGAAACCATTACCTTTATGCTATAAGAGATGGCCGACGGTAAACATATAGGCGTATTTTGTTATTAATTATTGAAGATTACAAATGATGATGACAATTTTATAGAGGGTATAACATGTATTCCAGAAAGTGTTCCCGAACAGTCCCTGCCCTTTGTTTGCGCGGACGCGAGGAGTGTATGTGAAGGAGCGGGGCGCGGAGCACATCCCACACGTGGTCAGGATCTGCCAAGCTCCTATCGACAAAGACGTCGACACACCATACCTAAGATATGCCCAGATGGCTAGGGATATGGGTGAGAAGGTTTTTAATTAGAGGACTACTTAACTAGACTGTCTTTGCCAAATTTTAACTTTGTGCTGTCTCCATATCTTGCATTTTTGTAGGTATCTTTTTTAATTACTTCTATGATAATATCCTTTCATAGATATAATTAAAGGTTTGGCAAAGACCTTTTCTATTTTAGACTAGACTTCGTGAAACCGAAACGCAACACGAAACTTGAACAGAGCGACTCAAAATCTGTTTCTTTTTTACACAATAATATACACTTTTTTATGTGCTGCATTTCATGGCACTGCGTAGCTCTACTGGCTTCTTCTAGTGAATTCACGTCGTGTTTCTGTGCGAATTTCTTCTTATTTTCATGATAAATGTAAATTGCAGGTGCACTCGACGCCATCCAGGCTTGTTGCAGTTTCTGCCAGTGTGGTGTTGGCTGTCCATGTACCTCTAGGGACTACGTGCCGCAGGACGCTGAGCAGATGGCGCGGTGCCGATCGGACATGTGCAAGTTTGATGCCCGCGTCAAGGCCGACCACCAGAGCATGCGTATCATGTATGACAAAATCTAATTCCCCTGCTTATACACTATACAGTAATGAATGTAACACGGTCCCGAAATCCTCAAAAACGATGGATGTTTGGATTGTACCTATTTTTTTTTCCTTTTACCGGCTATGATGCTAAAAATATCGGTCGCTCGGTGGTTAATTCAGTAGTGATGGTTTCTGCATCTTCTTTCTCACTCTGTCTTTGTGTAAGTGCATCAACTCGATCTCACACGTTGGTAGCTTGAGTCTAAATTATAAAGGATATGATTTAAAATAGTTCAGCTTTTTATATAATTTTTTAGATGGTTTGCCTGCAGTTTGGTAGGCTTTATTAGTTTACTCCGGCTGTTTAAGCCGGTTTGTTGGTGCATCTGTATAACTTTTTACTAGCAGTAGGTTTATATTTATTTTTACAACTTTACAATCACTATCTTACTTATTTTGATAGATAGGTGTTAATATTATTTTACATTGTACAATAAATTGTTAATAAAATATTTGGAAGTACCTATTCTTGTTCCTTTTTATTTTGTTTAAGAATACCACATTATCGACAAATATCCAGCCGATCTACATGTTCACGGGTGTTCCATGGCAAGTTGAGGTTTATTTTTTTTGTATAAAGATAATATGCATACGTAGGTATTTACTATCTTGAAAACTATTGCTATTGTGCACATATTATGACTGATATGGCCTGGGTAATGGGAATAAGAATCAAAGGAACAGTTAAAATAAATGTATTAAATGTAAAAGATACATTATAAACGTCATTGGTGTTATTTCAGCATGATATTGCTGTGCTCGAGTAGTGGCATCTGTACATTACCTGCAAAATATGAAGAAAAAGAAAGGTTATTAGTTGAGATAGTTCATGATGCATCTAGTCATTTTTGCATCTTTAAGTGTGATGTTTATGGGCGAACCAAACAGGCCGTTCGCTGGGTCCGTTGTCACCTTATTCAACCGATGCAGTTGTGGCCAGCTTTGGCGCCGATTGCTCACTTTTTGCGAATGACCGTCCGGGTCATTTGATGGCATTATTTTGTCACTTTGTCAACAAGTTGTAAAATACCGCTACATCGAAGTCTCCTGGTAATGAAACAATGAAACAATGAATTTATTTTTGCAAATAGGCCATAAAACGGCACTTTTATGCGTAAATTATATGTGAAAAACTAGATGAAGCCGGCATTTCCTATCTGACTACTCTGAGAAGAAATGCCGAAACAAACTCAGAGGTCAGTCTCTTTTCAAGTCCAGACAATGTAAAGAGATAAAGAGAATGTCAGTTTGCAACCAGTATAGCTAGTGCTGCTGAGTTGTCCGACGAACAATACCGATCAAAAGAACATTTGGGTGGGACGCGCAAGTACTCAAACTGTACGGCAAGTCTCACACGGTCCTTACACTAACAATAATATAAAATAATAAAAATGACAATAAATAAAAAAAAATGTCAAATAAAAAATAAAAATGTCACAATAGGTGATCATGTCATTGTTTAAAAAAAATAAACGTAATGTCAAATTGTATATAAAAGTGTAACTTATGTTACAAACATGTCAACATGACCTGTGCAGACGTTACAGTGGCTCATTCCGAAGCCTGACTATCCTCTAAGTAGTGTATATAGGTCACCCTACTCACCTTTTTTGCTATGTTTCTTGTGCATATGTACGCGTGGTATATTATTTTGGCTTTCTCTACGCCTGTCGTGATGTGAGCCGTCTGTCGTCAAATCAATTGGGCTTTGACTCTTCGAAGTCTGTAATATATGTATATCGGGTTTATTATCTATGAACGGTAAGTAAAATTTTGTGTTATTTCTACACTAGTTCCTAAACTAGCTTGAATATCCTCATGGGAAGTGGCTTTCGGATGGGTCTAACGCAGTGTTCATAAAGTATACTAAAGTTCTTAAAGAGAATTCTGCAGTTTGTTCTTTGGTTGTCTGTTGCAACAGGATATTCTGTTGCAACAATTAGTGGAATCAGCATATTATTGGGTTCCCACTAAAATACAAGTAATAAAAATATGGAACAAACCATGTCGTTATGTTCTTGGCGATTCTTGGCATCCTGCCAGTACTGCTGGCAGCGCTTCTGTATCTCCGGCGTATCTTCCCTGCCAGGGGTGAAGTCGATCACCAAGTGGGGTGCCTTCACCGGTTCACCACATGATGGCCCATGGTCTACTTGCTTCTGTGCTTTCGCCAGTGCTTCAGCCTTGGAATTAAAAAAGTGCAGTTGTTAATAGGTAGGATTGTTATTCGATAATATCAATTGCTACTTAAGTTACAAGTTATTGTCACCGAAACTGTGTTAGGTTTGTAGTGTATGTGACACGTCTCCCCATAGGTAGCGTGATATATTTTTATATTAGAGACCTAATTAAAGGTAATCGGACAAGTAACACGCGTCTTATTTGCTCCGCCATTGCAGGTTAGCCACCACCTTGGTCACCACAGTGTATCATTGTTTACTGCGACTGATTTAAACTGACTTAGGCAATGTAAGTACTTAAACTACTGAAAATAACGAATTACTTATGCGAATTAACCGAGAAAACCTCTACTTGTTTTTAGTCACAACTGGAATCTTATTTATAAGCAGCGTGCGCGTAGCGGCGTGTCGGTCAATTCGCGTGGCTAAGTTGTAATTGTCAGTAAATTTAGTAAAGTCAAAGTCAAAGTCAAAATCATTTATTCCAACTAAATCTGGTACTTTTGAAACGTCAAAATAGAAAAGTAGTCTTTCAGTCTGTTCGTCACTGAAGCTAGGTGCTCATTCCAAATTGTAGATTCGAATGGAGAAGAACGAGCAAGAAACTCCATTCGTTAATCTTTTTTTTTTTTTAAATTGTTTGTCTAAAGTATGTCTAAAGATACAAACTTTAATTTAAATTTACGAAATATATAATGTATTATAATATGGTGCAGTCATATATTAAGTACCTTAAATATTTGCACTGACGGTTTAGAATCAACGGAGGACGATGTGGAGAAAGGCACTTCATTGGCACACGGACAGCATAACATGGTCAGGTAGAAGTTGAGGACATCTGATACAACCTGCACATATCTCCAGAGCCTCACGAACCTATGCAGGAGGGGGTGGAACACGTAGCAGCTCACCGTGAACATATGGAAGGCATTTGGAACTGAAACCTTGAGATAACCGACCGACAGACCACGTTAAAGACCAGTAAAATTGATACTTCATAAATACACGCTTTGAAGTTTAAAACATACTGGTAATTTGTCAGCTTGTCAGATTTTGACACGTGCTTGAGGTGAGAGCGTATTCTTTGTCTACGGCCGAGAGCAAAGACATTGTACCCTCAGAATACAGAACAAACATTGTACCTTAAAACGCTTAAAGGTTTTAACGTTGTGCTGCAAAAGCGCTGGACCGATAACATATACTCAAGGTCGTATATTTTCGACGACGTGCTTGTGATTATAAGATGATCCTGAGAGAACTGAGGTCATTTTGAATTACCTAATTCAACATATATGTAGAAAGCCTAACCAATAATTGTATTTTTGAGCAGTTTTGGAGTTAAAATAATATCTTATCTCTCATGGCCTGTGGGGTTTGAGTACACATTGTTTATTTAAAGGAATATTGAAACTCATGGTCTTCGCATTTTGTGACCGGCGATCTGTCTGTTCTTCGGACAGAGAATAAACATTACTATACAACTCGGCAATAGTAGTCTTTAATGCAATACTCGATTGAATGGATATCTTTAGTTTTATTTTAAATTTCAGGTTTGGCTAATGTTTTTTAATGGCCTTCTATTTTACTGTTGCAATCAAGCATCAAGCAAATCAATTTTTGATTATATAGATGTGGATGATGTGGACGAACCGAATTTCTCTATCTAGAGCGATCTCCGGCCAAGTTTGCCCCGCGTAGGTACATGATCGATATTTACAAGAACATAAAATATTGATATAAAGAATAGTTTTTTTTATGGAGTAGGTGCCAACGAGTAGCCGCATTAACAGATGGTACAATCAGCGTCATCCATACGCACCTGCAACACTTGCACCTGGAGTCACAGACGCGTTGCCGGCCTTACACGAAAGAGTGTCATGAGATCTTAAAGGCTGCTCGTGAAACTTGATGTTCGAATTAGTTCGAAAGTACCGCCACCAAATACAAATCAAAACACAAAAAAAATAATATAGAGAGTATACCAAATATTGTTGTGCGACGCAGAAAGTTTCGAGAAAATGGAAATAGATGAAAAAATATAATAAGTAAAAAATAATTAATAGAGCAAGAAATGAAATAGGTAGATTGATTTTTTTGTATAAAACTAAATATTTATTTAAATAAGTAACTCTATTAATAAAATAACGTACAAATACAATCATTATCTAAGATTAAGTACAAGTAACTATAAACAAAGTTGTGCGGGACTTTTCTCGGAGTCGTAGTCGTGCAGAGAAGGCGCGTGGCCTGGAGGATCCATGTTCCTGAGAAAAATTTAGAAAATTATACTAAAATAATAGCTTGTACCATTCTAACATTAAGAATGCAAGGTGAGTACATTGACTGCCTGATACAACCAGGATAGGAAATCTATCAATTCTTACTAATATTATAAATGAGACAGTTACTATGTTTGGATGTTTGATACTCAATCACGTCAAAACGGCTAGACGGATCAGGATGAAATTTGGCACAGGCACAGGATACATTCCGGAATAGGACATGTAAGCTGTACTGACTTCCAGAAAAAAATTAACAACTTCATTTTGGAGTGGTGAAGGTTCTGAAGGTAGTATTGGAAGGACCTTTCTAGGTATTGTGACGGAAAAGTGGTTCAAACTCTTTGACATCATGACGTCAATGGATGGTTGTCAAACGTTGCCTAGAGATTGTAAATTTCGTCGTGAATTGTCAACACGAGTTGGCCTAATCGGTAAGGCGTGTGGATTACACCACAGAGACCCCGAGTTCGAGTCCCGCCGTAAACATGAAGTTTTTTAGTTGATGGAAGTCTTGTCGAACTTTCTGGAATTATTTGTGTGACAGAAATGAAAAATTAAAGAGCGAGAAGGAGAATAAATAAAAATGAATAACGAAATTATTGGAAGGTTCTGGAGGCATGACGATCAAAAAGAATAACGGAATTGAATGTTCCAGAACCTGACCGGGGGTATATAAGCGGAACTGCGGCTCACCGCTGGCAGTTGAGTTCTAAGTCTAAAGCGATTCGGAAGAAAAGGGAGAAGTGAAAAAGAAGAAAAGTGAGTGAAATAGTGAAGTGCAGTGAAATAGTGAAGTGCAGTCAGTTAAGTGAGTTAAGTCAGCGTGGACGGCAAAGTTGTGTCAGTCGGCCGGACTCTGCTGGAGAGGAACGCCGATAATTTAACTCCGTGGACGCTGTAACTTAAGTGCAATAGAAAGTCTGAAAACCGGTATTAGTGTTTCATTTCATCCAATCCCGTAACCCAAACCCGCATAGTCAGGAACGTGACGTCAGGCTCGTAACATTTGGTGTCAGAAGTGGGATTGGAGAAAAATGCCGCTAGTGCCGCAGGACGTAAGAGGAGTGAGTACCCGTGCAATGTCAGAAGCGCAGCGTGTGAGGGAAGAGGGTGCTGCAGCTCAAACCAGCGATGCAGAAGCCAAGCCTGTGCAGGTGGATCTTCTGCTACAGCTGCAGCAAATGATGGCAGAGCAAGCGCGCCGCCAAGAAGAGCAAGCGCGCTGTCAGGCAGAACAGCTGCGGGAGCTGAAAGAAGAGCAAGCGCGCCGCCAAGAAGAGCAAGCGCGCCGCCAAGAAGAGCAAGCACGCTGTCAGGCGGAACAGCTACGGGAGCTGAAAGAAGATCAAGCTCGTCGCGATGAGGATCAAGCTCGCCGCCAAGAGGAGCAAGCGCGTCGCTTGGAAGAGATGCATAAGGATTTCACGAAGGGACTGCAAAAGGCTGTCGAACGGGTACAAGAAGTGGAGGAAGGGTTAGGCAAGTTGGAACATCGCGTCATGGCGATAGAGGAGAGAGTGAAAGAAGAGATCTCCAAAATCAAGCAGGAAGTGACAAGCCCAAGCCCTTTGAAGAGCCGAAGCCGTCTTGCAGCCGTTTTTGACGCCCCAAATGTGGCCTCAAGTGCAACGCAAGGGCTCAAGATTCCCCATTACGACGGAACAACATCCTGGAACGCGTTCAAGGTACATTTTGAGACACTTATGGAGGCTTATGGTTGGACTCAGAAGGAAGCACAGTCAGCCCTCACCCTGGCCCTCCGTGATCAAGCGCTCTCAGTGCTGGAAGCTATCGGCGCAAGTGGGGATCTCAGCTTTAGTGCCCTCCTCGACGCACTTGAGGCACGTTTTGGAGACAGCCACCTCGAACACGTGTACAGAGCGCAATTAAAAGAGCGTACTCAGCGTGCTAATGAGAGTCTACAGCAATGGTCCGTGGAAATCGAGAAACTTGTGCGTCGAGCTTTCCGGTCGACACCGTCAATGATTGAAGGCACGCTTCTCCAAGCGTTCATTGACGGTATTCGGGACCCCGAAGTACGAGCTGCTGTTCATCTGGGCCATCACAAGAACATGAAAGAAGCTCTGGCCCATGCATTGGAAGTGGAAGCCGTGCGTGGCAACTCCCGTACCTTACGTCTGCGGGAAATGACGACGACGGAGCAGGTACCTCCACACCGTCGGAACTTCATGTGCTATGGATGTGGAGAGCGTGGGCACATACGGAGCGACTGCCTGAAGAAGATGAACCGCCAGGACGCGGCGGTCTCAACTTCTGACCAGCAGGGAAACTTAAATACAGCCAGGGCTGCGGGGTGGGCGCTGGCTGGTAGTGGAACAACCCCAACAATCTACATCAAGCAAACCAACGATGGAAATACTCTGGTAATAGACGGTCAAGTAAATGGGAGAAACAGTCAGCTAACATTAGATACTGGAGCTTCAAGGACGGTGATAAATGTTCGGCTGCTCGAGCAAAACATCAGGAAACACCTTAAACCAATTGTTGGCCTACAAATGAAATCAGCTACCGGCCAGTGCATACCGATAAGTGAAAAACTGCATGTAACAATCAAAATTGGGGAACGTGTTTATCGACATGAGGTTATTGTGGCCAAAATTCTGGATGACTGCATCCTGGGACTTGACTTCCTGCAAGGGCACCAGTGTAACATCGACTTAAAATCTGGAGTTTTAGTATGTGGAACTGAGGAAATTCCGATGAAGGGTGGAACCCTGGGAAAAGTTTGCTGTTTAAGAAGAACTGTTCTTGCACCAAAATCACAGACTCTCGTACCAATCGCATTACCTAGGAGGAAGGAAGGAAGTCTACCTCGAAGGTGCGCTGTGATTGATAAATCGGAACACGTAAGCTCATGGCTACCGGCAAGAACTGTCGTGGGGTCATCTGATGTCAACCGCATTCCGGTATTCAACTTCAGTGATTCAAAAATTACGATTGAAGAAGGAGAGCCTGTGGGCGTATTGGAAGAAGTGGCCTGGATAAGAAAATGCTCGGAGAATCTTGTGAAGAGGGACAGTACGGGAATTGACTTTGTAACGAAAATCTTAGACGAAAACAAAAGTCTGACAAAAGTGGAGACTATGAAAGCTAGAAATTTACTTCTTCGATTCTCTGATGTGTTTTCAAGAAGCGATGGTGATATTGGCCGAACTGGTTTGGTGAAGCATAAAATAAACACAGGTGATACAATGCCAATTCGTCAAAGGCCCAGACGCATACCATTCGCTCGTGAGAAAGAGGTTGAAGAAATGATTGACGATATGAGGAAAAATGACGTGATAGAGCCCTCTTCTAGCCCTTGGTGTTCACCTGTCGTGCTTGTCAAGAAGAAAGATGGTTCAACGAGGTTTTGCGTAGACTATCGACGATTGAATGATGTAACCAAGAAGGATAGCTACCCGTTACCAAGAATCGATGACACACTTGACACACTGAGTGGCATGAAATGGTTTTCAACGCTCGATCTGAAAAGCGGCTATTGGCAGGTGGATTTGGATCCCAAGGACAAGGAAAAGACCGCATTCTCAACTGGGAAGGGACTCTGGCAATTTAAGGTGATGCCATTTGGATTATGCAATGCACCGGCAACCTTTGAGCGTTTGATGGAACAGGTGCTGGCGGGACTGCTGGGCGAAACCTGCCTAGTTTACCTCGATGACATCATCATTGTTGGACGGGATTTTGACGATCATCTAAGGAAATTAGAAAAGGTACTCGACAAGCTGCGTGGAGCAAATTTAAAGTTGAGTCCAAAGAAATGCTCTTTCTTCAAGCGCGAAGTGAATTATCTAGGACATGTTATTTCTGAGAGAGGAATTGAGACTGATCCAGCCAAGACTGTCGCTGTTAAGGAATGGCCAACACCTAAAGACAAAACGCAAGTTCGCGCATTTCTTGGATTGTGCTCGTATTATCGGCGGTTTGTGAAAGGATTCTCGGACATTGCCAAGCCTTTGCATCGATTGACAGAGGAGAAACGTGCCTTTATCTGGGACGAGGACTGTGAGCAGGCCTTTCGAGAACTAAAAGAACGGCTTTGTAACACACCAATTCTCGGATACCCCAGCGCGAAAGGAATATTCGTAGTTGATACGGATGCCAGCAATATTGGAATAGGAGGTGTCCTTTCACAACGCGATGGTGAGCAGGAGAAGGTTATTGCTTACTTCAGCAAGGCACTATCCAAGCCGGAGAGGAATTATTGCGTGACCAGGAGGGAATTGCTGGCCGTAGTCAAAACTCTGCACCATTTCAAGAAGTATTTACTGGGACGGAAATTTTTGATCAGAACTGATCACGCTGCTTTGAAATGGCTGCTTCAGTTTAAGGATCCTGAAGGCCAAGTAGCCAGATGGTTGGAACAACTTCAGGAATTTGACTTTGAAATTGAACATCGCGGCGGAAGAATTCATGGCAACGCAGATGCATTATCGAGACGCCCATGCGTGGAAGATTGCAAGCATTGTGCCAAGAAGGAAACTGCTTTTCTTAAGGTGATAAGGACTGATACTGTTGATGAAATTAGAACAGGAAAGAGATGCAGATATTAAACCAATACTGGAGTGGCTACGAAGTGGTAACAAGCCAAATTGGAGTGACGTCGCCCAATATAGCGCGGTAACGAAAGGTTTATGGGCACAGTGGAAAAGCCTTACGCTGCATAACGGACTTCTGTGCAGGAAATGGGAATCAACAAACGGCAAGGACGAGCATTTGCAATTGGTGGTGCCTCGTTCAAAAATAAGGGATGTATTAAAAGCGTTCCATGATGGATCTTCTGGAGGACATTTGGGAATTAGGAGGACTTTGGTGAAGATCAAGGAGAGGTTTTATTGGTTGCATTGCAAATATGACGTCGAAGATTGGTGCCGGAAATGCACTAGTTGTGCAGCTGTCAAGGGTCCACAAACAAGAAGCAGAGGGGCGATGAAAATCTACAATGTTGGTATGCCTTGGGAGAGAATAGCCTTAGACATCGCTGGACCATTTCCAATCACTGATTCGGGCAATCGCTACGTTTTAGTGGTTATGGATTATTTTACAAAATGGCCGGAGGTCTTTGCCATACCGAATCAAGAGGCAGTAACTGTAGCCACGAAGTTGGTAAACGAGGTATTCACCCGATTCGGAGTGCCCCTGGAGATGCACAGTGATCAAGGACGGAACTTTGAATCCCAAGTTTTTCAGGAAACTTGTAAACTTTTGGGAATCCATAAGACTCGAACGACCCCTTATCATCCACAGTCAGATGGAATGGTCGAACGTTTCAACCAAACATTGGAGCGACACTTAGCAAAGGTGGTTGACAGCCATCAGAGAGATTGGGACACTTACATACCTCTCTTCTTGCTTGCCTATCGGACTGCTGTACATGAAAGTACCGCTAAGACGCCTGCATTTGCAAATTTTGGAAGGGAATTGAGATTACCGGCAGATCTTGTATCGGGCTGTCCACCTGGCGACTCTCGCACCGAGTTTAGCGATTACATAAGCGAGTTAAGGGCAAAAATGTTGGACATTTATGAGCAGATCAGGGAGGCCGGTCTTCAAGCTAGTGATCGCGCAAAGACGCGCTATGATCGACGAGCCAATTCTGTTGGGTTTGAAGAGGGGTCATTGGTCTGGCTTCATAATCCAGTCAGAAGGAAGGGAAAATCTCCGAAGCTGCAACCGAGTTGGGAAGGTCCTTATGAGATAGTCACGAAGATCAATGACATTACTTACAGAATTCGGAAGACTTTAAGGAGCCCTTTGAAAGTTGTCCATATAGACAGGTTGGCGAGGTATTACGGCAGCAACGATGCTCGGGACGAGCAAATCTAAGAGGAGGGCAGTGTGACGGAAAAGTGGTTCAAACTCTTTGACATCATGACGTCAATGGATGGTTGTCAAACGTTGCCAAGAGATTGTAAATTTCGTCGTGAATTGTCAACACGAGTTGGCCTAATCGGTAAGGCGTGTGGATTACACCACAGAGACCCCGAGTTCGAGTCCCGCCGTAAACATGAAGTTTTTTAGTTGATGGAAGTCTTGTCGAACTTTCTGGAATTATTTGTGTGACAGAAATGAAAAATTAAAGAGCGAGAAGGAGAATAAATAAAAATGAATAACGAAATTATTGGAAGGTTCTGGAGGCATGACGATCAAAAAGAATAACGAAATTGAATGTTCCAGAACCTGACCGGGGGTATATAAGCGGAACTGCGGCTCACCGCTGGCAGTTGAGTTCTAAGTCTAAAGCGATTCGGAAGAAAAGGGAGAAGTGAAAAAGAAGAAAAGTGAGTGAAATAGTGAAGTGCAGTGAAATAGTGAAGTGCAGTCAGTTAAGTGAGTTAAGTCAGCGTGGACGGCAAAGTTGTGTCAGTCGGCCGGACTCTGCTGGAGAGGAACGCCGATAATTTAACTCCGTGGACGCTGTAACTTAAGTGCAATAGAAAGTCTGAAAACCGGTATTAGTGTTTCATTTCATCCAATCCCGTAACCCAAACCCGCATAGTCAGGAACGTGACGTCAGGCTCGTAACAGTATTTAATGAAATTTGATATTTTCCTGTGTTGTATAAGTTTATACAGGGTGTAAAAAGACACTTAACGAAGCCGTTAACTACGCATACTGCAGTTCTAACTAAGTAGCTTTACGCTAAAATTATCACTGGGAAACGACTTTTATTTTTAGGTATCAAAAAATAATAATAATTTTATTGCGCGAAATGTAAAGCAAACGGGCTTCGTGCCATTGTATGCGTAGGTTCACAGCTTAGCACTAAAACGCTGTGATAAGAACGTAGGTCGACGTTTCACTTCGCAACAACACAACAATTCTGTAAAATAAAAATCCTATTGAGATGCACGATGTTTTTTGTGCGGGTCTGCAGTTATTTATTACGTACATTACTGTTCGTAACTTCAAATGCATAATTTATTTAAAAAAATCGAAAATTCAGGTAATGTTTGTTTGGAAAAAAGTTTTGTAATAATACTTAGAATTCGATTGCGCAAAAAAAAAAAATGCGTCTTTGACCTTCAATATCTCAAGAACCCGTGCAGTCCCAGCTATGGTCTTAAAGAAAAAAAATGATCCAAATAATGGGTAGAATACGTGGCTTTCGGCTTCGTTAAGTATCTTTTTACACCCTGTATTTAAGTAAGTATATTTACTTGAAGTGCTTTGTGTCCCAATCGTTCAGCTGCCGGCTCAGGAGACTCAGTCCCGAACTATTTGCTTTAGAGGGCTTCTTATTAGGGACATCCGATGCGTTCTGAGGACATGGCACCGAGGGACTTGACGTACTTGGACCTAGACCTGGAACAAAATCATTACGATCTTGGTTGGAAATATAAAGTATATAAATTACTTTCTCTTTTACAAATAACTTCAGACTTAACACTATCTGCTATTTCTTAACTTTTTTTTTAGTGAATCGTTGCCTCCACTTGTATTTTCTCATGTGTCGTGGGTGCGGTTACAAACATACAATTTCACATGCACATGACACCCAGACTCGGAACAACAATTTGTGGATTGTTCCGTGCGGGAATCGAACACGGGTCACATTGCATGGCAGCCAGTTGCCCAGCCACCGCACCAACCGTGCAGTCAATTTGTATATTCTCATTCGCACTAGTTTTCTGTCTTTGCGATTATGCCCGTGTGGAACTAGTTGATTCACTAAGTATAACTTTCGTGAGACATGACATGTGAGGCTTATTCGCGTAGTAAGCCGAAAACATAATAATGAATTAAAAAACAAAAAGTAGCATACGTTTCTAAAAATGAGCCAATGGTATAAAAATTTCTTTGTTCTTTACCTTTTTTCTTCTTTTTCTTCTTCTTTTCCTCCTTTTTCTTCGGGTTTGTTGGCTTAGTGTCCTCTACATACTCACGAGGGCCAAGTGAGCATTGTGTTGATGGCATCTTTGCTCCAAAAATGCGATTTATTAGATCTAAAGAAAAATGGTTTTTGCTTGAAAATAAGTAAAGTTATTTGTAATTATTTTGCGATTCTAATTTTAAGTGTGGGAGAGCCATACTTTGGCAGGAATGGGCCGACTCCACAGGAATGATTCCATGGCCGCACAGAAAATCAGCATTGAATTAACGTTATTTTCGCTGTGACTACCGAAGGTGTAATTCTTCTTTTCTCCACTACTATCCTCAAATACCTTTTTTTATGTATTAGATCGGCAAACGAGCAGACGGATTGCCTGATGGTAAGTAATCAGCGCCGCCCATGGACACCCGCAACGGAGGAGTAACGAGTGCGTTGCCGACCTTTTAGGGATTAGGCATTTGGAGATTTAGGGATTGAGGAGGAATTGGGGGTGGGGAAGGATTAGGCTTCCGGTAACCTTACTCACACGGCGAAACACAACACTGTGGTTGTTTCAAGCCGGTATTCTGTGAGGCCGTGTTATCTCTCCGGTCGAGCCGACCCATTCGTGCCGAAGCATGGCTCTCCCACACTTACCTACCCCAAAAGGCCGGCAATGCACTTGTAATCCTAAAATGTTGCGGGTCTCGATGGGCAGCACCGATTGCTTATCATCTGGTGTTCGTTTGGAACGTTAGCCGACACATCTTACAAAAAAGTAAGGAATAAAATGGGAGTGTGTGGATTAAGAGTTGTGTTATATTCAAGATATATCTATTTACTTTTGTCCTCAGCAAACTGCAACATCGCGATAGCTGTCTTCTCATCATCATCATTATTATCATCGAGAAATTCATGGTCTATGAAATCAGTAGAGTTGTCCATTTTTGATCCCGGCTTATGACTGCCTGAGCTACTATCTGTTTCCAGAATAATATTTCGATCCTGAATTATTGAAATATTTTGAGTCAACTATATTTTTTATGTAACACAAAGAATATTACTCGTATACGTGATAGAACTATAAAAATATTAAACAAAAAATTTACAAAGTCTATAATATCAGTACACCACATTATATTTGTTAATAAAAGAATATAAAAAATACCGTGGTGTTTTTTTATGGAGCTTTAAAACAACATTTTTTTCATACACGATTCATGGCATGGCCATAATTTTTGTATTCCACATTTTCTCATTTCAGACTTGTTGCGTTGATTCTGTGTTATTATAGGTTTACGGTTAAGCATTGGTTCATCATCATCATCAGCCTATAAGTGCCCACTGCTGAGCAAAGGCCTCTTCTCACACGGAGAAGGTTTGAGCATTAATCACCACGCTTGCTCAATGCGGGTTGGCGATTTCAAACTTACAATTATAAGCATTGGTTGGTTTAGCATAAATATAAAAGGTAACATATACCGCATTTACTCTTAAGTTATGTATTTCTGGAGAGTTTTCAATGAATTGCCAGAAAGAGCAGACTTTTTTCTGGACAAATTCAGTGTCCATTTCTTCGTTTGGAGTGAAGTCGATAGTAAGGTGCTGAGGCTCCAGGGGCTCCCCACAGCTTCCATCTGCAAACACACTGAAGGTCTCCGGAGACTTAGGGTTACTTGTCCCTGCACTAGACTCTACCGGTCTCTTTTGTTTACTAGACTGCAAATAGGGAGATTGGAGATCATCGGTTATCATTTGCGATATAAAAGTAAAAAATATTTTCGAAAAATACGTCTAATACTTAAGTGACGTTTGAATGTATTGTTATGATGACAGCGAACAGGTCCCGAATTTTAATTGTATCGACCTGTGTTAGTTGGTTTAAAGGAGGATGTATGTGTATTTTTTGTTTATAGTTATATTATACTATGATACTTTTTTTTTTATTTTTTTTATTTTTTTTTTAAAAAAAAAAACGTTGCCCCACACTAGGATTTTCTCCTGTGTCGTGGGTGCGTTTACAAACATACAATTTCACATGCACATCACATCCAGACCCGGAACAACAATCTGTGGATCCCACAAAGAGTTGTTCCGTGCGGGAATCGAACCCGCGACACGTTGCGCGGCAGCCAGTTGCCCAGCCACCGCGTCAACCGTGCAGTCGATACTCTCATCATACTCTCACTAACGGTAGTCTTTGGGGATAATGAAATAACTTCTTGGATATATTCAGAAAAAACATTTATATATGCTTTAGTTGCATACATAATAAATAATGTATATACAAAAAAAGTAGGTTTAAAATAGTAGGTATGGTATATTATGCATACATGTCAGGGTATTTCATACTTTGTCCCACCATTTTTGACCAAAAATTACGCAATCTGTGTTCTGTCTTTTTACGTAAGTCTGGGAAAGCCATGCTTCGGCACGAAAGGAACGGATCGACGCGAGAGATACCACGGCCTCACAGAAAACCGGCGTGAAACAACCACAGCGTTGTGTTTCGCCATGTGAGTGAAGTTACCGGAGGCCCAATCTTTCCCCTCCCCCGATCCCTCCCCAATCCCTTAATCTCCAAAACCCTTATCCCCAAACGGTCGGCACGCACTCGTCACTCCTCCGTCGTTGCGAGTGTGCATGGGCGGGTCTTATTGCTTATCTTCAGTTAATCAGTTTGTTTGTTTGCCGACCTATCACATAAAAAAACGTCCTCATAAGTTACAAGCAATTCTTTTCTTTGTAAAGACCTTTGGCCTCAGCGGTTTTGTATTTATATTTACTTTTATATAAACATTTTACAGTAGAAAGGTAACTATTTAGCTTGTAACTAAGCATAAAACTTGAGTTAAAGTGCAAAATATAATTATGTAATAACTTTATTATTCACTGTTCATTACTACTACAATTTTTCAACGTTACTTCACACTCTGATTTTCTCCCGTGTTGTGGGTGTGGTTACAACTATACAATTTCACAAACACACGACACCCAAACCCGGAACATTTTGTGGATCACACAAAGAGTTGTTCCGTGTGAGAATCGAACCCGCGACACGTTGCACGGCAGCCAGTTGCCCAGCCACCGCACCAACCGTGCAGTCGATAATCTATTAAATTGTAATTTAATTGTAATTGTACCAAAATTAAATTGTATGCAATAACCCGTGCATTACATAACGCCATCTTTCTGTCCCGAAAGGGGTAAATAGAGATATTATACGTAGTAAATACTACAATTGCAACTAGATGCCCAATAGCAGCTCGATCCAACACACATAGAAACAAGGCAATTGCAATGTCAAACAATAAACACCAATAAAATTATTCATTTACATTTATTCGTTAAAATAGCGCAACAACAGAGTCATAATTATATTCATATCAATTAACATTAAAATAATGCAAATACATTCTGGAAATGGGCACATGTTTAACATTAAACTGTACCTAATCAATAAATGTTTTTACAGAATAATATTAAAATTAGAGAATTAATATAATTCTTTATGTTGGGATAGTAAACTAATTCGTGTTATTTAGGTCTTTGAAGAATTCGGGAGAATATGGAGAAACAAATATCTACACATATAAATATAAAATACCTATTCTTGTCTATATTAATGTCTTTCTGTCGAATTCTGTTTACACTCATTGCAGACCATATAAACAAATGAGATGGGGCAAATATATAATTAGGAGTAATACATCATCATCATCATCATCATCATCAGCCTATAAGTGCCCACTGCTGAGCAAAGGCCTCTTCTCACACCGGGAAGGTTTGAGCATTAATCACCACGCTTGCTCAATACGGGTTGGCGATTTCAAACTGGAATCCTCACGATGTTTACCTTGACCGTATGTCAGAGGTGTCTAATTAATCATAGAAAGTACATATAACTCGGAGAAAGTCACATTGGTATTTGCCAGGTTTCGAACCCACACCCTCATTCATGAGAAGCGGGGCCTTAACATCGGGGCCACCACATCCTATCATCCTACCTACAGGTATGTATTACTAGGGATAATACACACTAGAACAATAAAACACTTTGATTCAACCCTTTTTTGCATCCATTGACCCCTTAAAATCTATTTATTCAAAATGGTTTCCACTCAAGACTTGTCTTTGATCGATATATTGGTCGAGCGCTGGTGGAAGCCCAGGGGGCTCCATGGACCTGAGATGAAGAGAGAGAAAAATATACATTTTATTATTACCTTAACGAATAAATGTGTTAAGTACCTGTTAATAACTGATTGTATGAGGTTCGTCTCTACTATAATGAAAAGTACATAATGTTCATTCATTGATACATATACTATATATGTATATTGTATATTGGTATCTTTATGCTTATTATTACCAACCACGTTTCAATATTATAGTTCCTATTGTTTTGGAAAAATGTAGCAACAGACAGGCATGATAAATCTACAGGTGTTCAGGTTTTTGTTTTCAGTTTTGCGTTTACAGAGTCAAATGTCAAAATCAATATCATTTCAGTGAGACCCTTACAGGCACTTTTGAACGTCAACAAACTTGAAGCTTCAAAGGATAAAAATTGACAGTCTGTTGGTCAGTCCTTTTTGAGAAGCTATTTGCTCTTCCCAAAGTGTTGAAGAACGATCAAGAAACTCCATTGTTACTCTTTTTTAAATCAGTTTCAGATACAAATTCAGATAAAAAGAAACTTACCAAAAATAAAGTTCTTAGGAAACACCAAAAAAGTTACAAGTCTGCCTTTGCCTTTGTGTGTAATTAGGAAATTGAGGCTTACTTGGGATGTTTCTCGTCCCATTCTTGGAGGATCTTACACAGCTTCTTCACTTTTGTGGAGTTTTTCTGCGGTCGCCTCACTTTACTTGTAGTCTTGCTTGAAGGTTCACCTGGTAAATTAGCTGGACAGTATTAATACTGTCTCTCAAAATAAAAAAACAGGGAATGAAGACTTCTCAATGGATTTCAATAATATTTGGCACATATTGACACGGTGCAGAAACCATTGACTCCAAAATAGATAGGTTTGGTTATTAATTATCAATTAATTTTAGCTTTCTCCTGTTTTTAAACTATGGAGTAGGTACTAGGTACCTATTAAAGAGGTAAAAAATAGTAGTTTCATTTTTTAAATGAAAGCTTGCACTCTGACTAAGGAGTTTTTTTTTCTCCTGGTTGTGCAGCAGCCAAATCATTGACTGTGTGTAGTGGTTTTCAGTGTGCCTCATTGTTATGATCCTGGTGTGACTTGAAACTAGATTTGTGTAGTTTGCATACATCATTATTAAACTTATCTCACTACAATCCATCACTATTATAATTGCAAAAAGGTCTAATTAAATAAAGGTCTAAATAAAAGAGTGAATAGGCTCTTAATAAACTAGTGCGCCTTACCATCAACGATTGCATCACTGCTTACCATCAGGTGGGATCGCAGTCAAGCACTAGTTTATTGCAAGTAAAAAAAAATTACATTAATTTTAAATATAAACTTTCTTCTTACACCCGGTTTCCGAAAGGCCGATCAATGTTAAAATCAATTTAATCTCTTGTCAAGTCATTTGATTGGCGGTTGATAATTCAGTCAACCAATCAGATGATTTGACAAGAGATTTAACAGGAGATTAGTTAATTTTAGCGTTGACAAGCCTTTCAGAAACCGGGGGTTAATATACTACATGTGACATTATTTACTTACGCGTGTTGGGATGATTTTCTTTGGACTCCACAGAGAGGGAGGTGCACATTGCAGGTCTTTTAAATGTCGGTCCTGGGAAAATCAACTGTATTCAAACCAAACATGTGCATTGCACGACCTCCTATTTGCTGCCGTTGTACTACAAATTTGCTACTATGAAGCGCTAGTGAAAACGCAGGCCTGTAGCTTTAGACGGTAGATATTCTAGAGTCCAATTTTCGATACAGCTTCAATAATTGGAATGAGACCTGACACAACATCAGCGCGATCTAGAGAGCATAATCGAAAACTGGGAACTAGGAATAATAATTTTAATTTGAAAATAAGTAGGGACTCAATCGGCCTTATACAAAACAAGGTTTAACTTTAGTCTAGGACTAAACCATTGAGCCAGTTTTTGTATTTCGAATTGAAGGTAGATGACAATAAGATTCATAATTCAAAACCCGACTCAATGGTTTAAACCTGGACTAATGATAAACCTTGTTTTGTAATAACGGGGAATGTGTTAATAAAACCTAAGGACACTAATATTATAAAGAGGTAAAAATTGTAATTTTGTAAGTTTGTATGTAGGGGGTAAGCTTTGGAACCGCTGCCGCGCTGGTCGGATTACTAAAATTCTTTCACTGATAGATAGCTACAATGTTCCTGAGTGCTATAAAATATCGCGCTACGACCAAATGGAGCCGAGCAGCGGGTGAAACCGAGCGAGATTAGCTAGTTATTTAAACATTTTAATTACATCATCTCATGTGAGATCTGCAAGCTATCATTTTGAGGATATGTATGGTCATAACCTGATTTACTATATATTTCTAACGACGAGATCGCAGATTGATCCATTTCCAAGTTTTTCTCTTTATTTGGTTTACTTTCTGGCGGAGAAGAAACCGGGCCCTCAGTTCTCTGTGGCATTAACGAGGGCTGGTTTTCCTGTAAAATAACATTTATTAGAGATGTTTAGGAAAATAAGCACGAGCTATCATATAATGATACCTCAAAGATTACTTCTTTTATAGATTTAGTGTTTCATTGTTAAGTTGGTAATAAAAGACAAAATATATTGCTGACCTGTATAATAATAGGAAACCTAATATCAAATACTGACAATGATTTTAAATTGTGAAATTCGTAATTCTCATGACCAGAACGTGGTGTAAATGTATAGTCAGCTCACTCAGAACTACTGAAAATTAAGAAAATCTATTTTGCACGAGAATAGAATCAGTTTTTTGAGGTGGAATATTCTGAAATTACTCCTTTCACGATTGGTACGACGACAGGGAGTGTCAGACTATTACTGGCTAAATACCACCCCTGCTGCAGGCCGGGACCTCGTTACAATGCCAATTGTTGTCAAAGTTATTAAAAGCATGGTCAAAGAGAAGTATCCTTAAGTAGTTGAACACAAGGACATTATGCATACGAATTCTGTGCACTGCACTCGTGGGCTGCGGACACTCTTACTATACAGGGAGGAACAATGGCTATTATGCAGCAAACCTCTCAGCTGAAACACTAATTACGCGTTCCATTAGCAGTGCACCGACAATCGAAGTAGCATCAAGTATTATCGACGTTTCAGCGGACAGTATAGGCTGGGGTTTCTATTTTTACGTATTGTTCCTGTCATATGGCTACAATATTTTTGAAAAAAAAAAATACGGCAATAAATACAATCCTACTAATATTATTAATGTGAAAGTTTGTTAGAATGTATTTTACGCAAAAACGGTTGGACGGATTTGTAGTATTAAATAAATATGTATGACTTTAAATATTTGATTGTGATTTACGAGATAGATTCTGCCTTCTTTTTTCCAGCCTGGATGGGATGAGAGGGGTTTTAATGGAATAAATAGTAGTTGTTAATAGTAAGCAATTGGCGCCGTCCGTGGACAGTCGTAATACCAGAAGAGTGCGTTGCCGCCCTTTTGTAAGTTTGAAATTTAAGGTTAGGGTATTTGGGGATTGACGATAGAATGGAGAAGTATGCCTCCGGTAAGCTCACTCACACGGCGAAATTCTACGCAAGTGTTTTTGTGAGGACATGATCTCACTCGGTCGAGCCGGCCCATTCGTGCCCGAATCGTAGCTCTATTATCTCATTTATAGCATTTGGTATCACATTTCCTATATCTGCCTGTATGGAAGATTTTCGTGACTGTATGCACGACATATACATGTTTTTAAATTCTGATCAACAGCTGGTTCTTAATTACTGCCGGTCTTAACAGACTCTACCTGGTGAGTTTTATAATTAAGTAGTAACTATTAATGTACCGGCATCACCATAAGATGTTGTATCTCAGGCGTGTTATTGACGAAATCCCAGAAGTCGATGATCTTTTGTTCTTCAGAGGCTGTGTCTACCTCAGGATTAGGAGTGAAATCTAGCTGCAAATGTTGAGGTGTGAAGGGTTCCCCACAATCTCCATCTCCAAAGTTGCTGAACCTTGTTTTGGATGTAAGCTCGCTATCTTTGCCAGTTGTCGAAGTTTCACCAGATCCATTCTCCATAAGCAAAGAGGATAAGGACATTGTTGATACTCGGAACGATATTTATTATGGTTATATTACTACTACACTTTGATCTTAGCTAAAAGACCGAGAAGCGATATTATTATATTCTTCTATTGACATTTAGCGATATTTTGACATTATGCGACTGACAGCTTCTTTTTTTTTCCAGCCAGTTTTATCTTCAGCCATGTTGAGACTATTTTTATAAATTGTATAACCCTTCCTTTTCAATCTTATCTATTATAAAAAAACGCGTCAACATCCTTTGTGTAATTTTAAAGGTTTAAAGATACATAGGGGTCTGGACTGAGTAAGCGACTCTGTTTCATACTAAGTAGTGGTTTAGGGTAGTTAAGTCAGCGTAAATCTAAATCTGTGGCACATTGATCACTGATTATAAGTTCAGTAATTATTGCGTGAACGAGTATCAAACATCTATCCATTCATCCATACTTCAAACTTGCGCTTGTACATTAAGATGGATGATGGCAGATGGCGATACTAAAGTTATTGATAGCATCATGTCGTGGTGGCCCGGAGGTAAGTACGCCCGTTTCTCATGCATGAGGGCGCGGGATCGAAACCTGGCAAGTACTTTCAACTTTTTTTATAGCCCCATGTACCCGCCACACCAGAGGAGTTACGAGTGCGTTGCCGGCCTTTTAGGGATAAAGGTTTCAGATATTTAAGGATTGGGAAGGAATGGGGGAGGGGGAGGTATTATGCCTCCGGGACTTCACTCACACGGCGAAACACAACTCTGTGGTTGTTACACGCCGGTTTTCTGTGAGGCCGTGGTATCACTCCGGTCGAGCCGACCCATTCGTGCCGAAGCTTGGCTCTCCTACACTTACTTTTTCTGAGTTATATTATGTACTTTCTATGATTATTGAGACACCACTGAGAAACGTTGAAAGAAAACAACATGACGAAACCTGGACTTATTATTTCTAATTACAGGATTAAAATCTTCAAATCGCTTTGAGCAAGCATGGTAATTAATGCTGAAACCTTCTCCGTGTATGAAGAGGCTTTTGCTTAGTAGTGGGCACTTATAGGCTGATGACGATAATGAAAATTTTAATACATGAATTATTGCATGGATGGATTACTTATACTGAATCTTGAATCAACTTTTGTGTGAAAAGTGGCTAGTAAAAGCTTGTTTCTTAATATTATATGTACAGCATCTTCGTCCATTAAGAGAATGAATGCTATGGAGCCGTCGTACTAATCCGCTCATGTATGCAAAATCAATAAGAATCTTGACTCAACATGCATAGCACGTGATGTGACTTCACGTCAGCGAATATTTGCAGAACATCCTAACAACTACAAAAGAAGCAAATAATTTTTGAATCTGGAGCTGAACTGTTAAGGTTCACTTTGGCTTGAGATCCCACGAATGTAGGGCAGCGTAGAAATAGGTCTTTAGTAAGTGACAAGGGTTAATGGTGTTTAAAATATGCACGGGCCATCTTGGGGACTGCATACTGTATCCGGAGCTTAGAATGCTGAAAACTGGGTACGGTGACGTCACCGCTGGGGGTTTCAATCATAAAAGTATACTTGAAGTAAAAGTTTTATAGAAACTACTGACTTGACACAGAGGTGTCACTATAATGGGAAAATAACATCGATCACTAATAAGTTCTTTATTAGTGATCGATGGAAAATAATTAATAATATAATATATATAAAATGGCTCGCAAAATGTGTTGGTAAGCGCATAACTCAACAACGCGCAACGCCTGGACCAATTTTGCTAATTCTTTTTTTGTTGTGTTTGTTATTGTCAGGAGAAGGTTCTTATCAATCAAGAAAATATAGGTAAGAAAAGTAGAGGGGAAGATTAGGATAAAGTGATTAAATGACCCTTTGATAGCGAGATAGTTGGACCCTTGCGAAGCGGGGGCGGGCCGCTAGAAATAATAATAATAAATCGATAAATAGACAACCAGAGATATGTCATTTCAAAAATATTAGGGTATTCATATGTATGCACTAACAGTAGTTCTGAATTTCTCATTTTTTATGTGGTCGGAAGGCGAACTAGCTAACGGATTACTTGATGGTAAGTAATCAGTGCCACTTATGGATACGGGCAATAATGAAAGAGTTACTAGTTTGTTGCTGACCTTTTGAGGTTAGGATTTGGAGATTCAGGATACCAAATTAGTAGATATTATTAACTTTGGGGTAGGCTGTTCGATAAAAGTGTTGCAGTAATAAAAGCTACTGGCTGAATTATTTAGCCGGACAGATATCTCATTTCTTATCCTGTGGCATCTGTTCCAGACGTTGTGTTATCAATAGGGATGGTGATGCAATGGCCGAGGGTTGAGGCCGGGACTCTTGATTGCCAGCGAACTGGGGCGCCGTGATACGACACGTCTCACACACGTCACTTGGAGCCAAGCAAGCTGCAAGCTGATTGGCTACAGGTAAACTATGTCCTCCATTAAGACCAATTGTCAAAAGATTATGACATGGTAGTCGTGTCGCAGTCAACTGATTTAAATAGCCGTTCAATATATCTGCTAGCCTTTTGTTCGCAGCACAATTTGAGTTTAACTGTGCACAGTTCTAACGAACTCTGTTTCCATGGCTTTCCTTCACCATTAAATAAATAAATAAGGAGTAATTAACATATTATTATAATGTTGTGGTCACATATTGGGGACACTATCAGCTACTGTTATAATATTTTTGTCTGAGTGATAATATCATAAGAGCAAGTGTGGGGTCAAGCCTAGGTTTGTTATTCGGGCACACTTATGAGTAGAGCTCAGTAATGGGCACCAGGTCAGGGCCCACCTGCTTTTATGAATACATTTTTTCATCATCGACTTGACTTAAACTGAACGGTTGGCGTAGTGACTGGGCAACTGGTTGCCGTGCAACGTGTCCCGGATTTAATTCTCGCACGAGTCTGGGTGGTTTGTGCATGTGAATTTCATGTTTTTAAACGCACCCACAACACAGGGGAGAATGCTAGTGTTCTTCTTCCAAGGAAGAAAGGAAGTGTTAAATTTTAACTGACTTAAAACTACGCCGTTATTTTTCCCCGGTCTCGATCATGGTGTAGTTCGAAATAAAAAGTTTTACATTTTAAAATTACGTAATAAGTACTGTTTATTGTCACAGAATTATCAACAACATTAGTTAATCAATAACTTCCCAATATGTTGATCATTAAAGTAACCGCATACCAGTTTTTTACCCAATGTAGTAACCTTCACCTAATGTAAAGTACGTTGCTCCGTGAAACATGTTTTATTTTCCTGTTGCTGGAAGTACCAATGTAGTTCCCAATCGAATAATGTTTTTAAATGGATCTTCAATGTGTTTGACATTTAGCCTCCATGTGTATTTGGTTGAGGGATTTCCCTAAAGCCCGACAACTAAGAGTATATCAATGTGTGTAATATATGATGTAATGTTTTTATTAAATGTTACTTACAATCGTCAATTTCAGGAAATGTTGTAAATGTCAAGGATTTCTTTTGCCGAGGAATTATCATCAGCCGGGGTTGCGGGGTAAGCGCAATGAGGCACCGCGACCTCGGCCCAAAGCAGGAGAAGGATAAGGGGGGTTTTTAGTCAGTAAGAGTCTGACACTCCCTCCCTTACCCGGGGCGGGAGAAGTCATTTGATGATTTTCCCCTCACAAAAAAAGAGGGAGTGTGGAGGCAAACTCTTATTGACTAAACACCACCCTGAGTCTTTTCCTGTTCCTCGCTGGCACTGAGGTACGTTATTGCGCATGAATTATCCCGGGAAATGTCAAGCATTACGATTTTAAAAGAGTATTATCAGCAGCACTTTACTTAATAGTGAATTCATTAACAGCCACTCTGTAAGGAACTGAACAGGGATTCTCTGACTACAGACAAAAAATAACAATAGCCCACCAAGGCCACGGAATAGGTGTAAAATGAAGAAAAAAATTGCATTAGCATGCAACAGAAATATGTTCCTACACAATTGATTATGTTTGAGAAAAAAAGTAAGGTATAATTCAACTATCTAACACCGAAATCGCAAAAAGTACTGAAATACTGATTTCGGTATTGTGCAGTAACTTAAGTGATGTATTATTTTATGGATATGTTTGTACATAACACGTGTTATCTTGAGTTCAAGACATTCCGGCTTCATCAGTGAACAGATACAGTGCACAATAATGTTAAAAATATATTTAATTTGTTTGTCGTTCTTGTTCTTATTAAACATTGGTATGTAAGGGCATTTTTGTCACACATTTTCATATAAAGTACATAGTTTTTTTTATTTCGTAGTGGTCAGGCATTTGGCCGCTATCACACCTGGTGGTAAGTGTGGTGAGTGGACCAACATTGGAACACGTCTACTCATAAGCAACCTACTCACCCGGGCTTAGAAGACATCCCTTCGGGGAACAGAACCCGGCAAAGAATTCCACTCCTTGGCGGTTATTATAATAAAACTGGATGCGAACCGCATCGTGCTTGTGGGTGGGATAATACCACCATAAAGCGATGACGCTTTACCAATTATCTGGTGAAGATTGGAAAAATAATTGTTATAAGACTATATATAATTCAGCATTGATGAAAATTTTACACTGTAAGTATGTGTTTTGTTTGTAAATAAATTACAGAGTCGGCACGATGTGACCCACATTACAAATTCAACATGGACGCAAATGGCTGGCTCAAAGTGCACCAGATACCCGCCACCTGGGAGGAAGCATTCCTTAGATGTCACTATGAAGGTAATACCAACATCAATTACAAGTTAAAAATAGATAGCATGTCCATTTCAAATTTTTTTTTATGTAATAGATCGTCAAACGAGCAGACGGATTATCTGATGGTCAAGCAATCAGTTCCGCCCATGGACACCCGCAACACCAAAGGAGTTACGAGTTCGTTGCCGACCTCTTAGGGATTAGGGTTTTGGAGGTTAAGGGATTGGGGAGGGATCGGGGGAGGGGAAGGATTGGGCCTCCGGTAACCTCACTGACACGGCGAAACACAACGCTGTGGTGGTTTCACGGCGGTTTTCTGTGAGGCCGTGGTATCACTCCGGTCGAGCTGACCCATTCGTGGCGAAGCATGGCTCTCCCCACACTTAAAAATACACATTATATAACTCGCGAAAGTAATAAAGTGAAATCATTTTACCTCAATTTCGTGATTGCTTCAGTGTTTGGACAAACATATGTCATGTTCCCTATACGCGACCTGGCGAGCCAAAAATGGTGGTCTGCGTCGACAAGAAGTTGATTTTAAACAAAAGCACTAAAATGGATTTTGGTAAGGTGGGGTTCCAAATTCATATTGACTCCAATACCGATGATTCGACTAACGTTCAATAAATATTAAGCAAGTGAAATTGGATTATGCAAAACTGATATCTTATATCGTGTTGACCTGCAGGTCAGTCACTATCCAACAAGCTAAACGATTTATTTCTGACAATTGATAAGTAAAACTTAAATAAGAGATAAACAAATTCATATATGTTAGTAGTCGGTCATCGCTGAAAATCAGCGCTGCGACACTGTCTCGCATAGTGTCGCTGCATATGCTGAGCGAGGGCCATCGCATGCTTGTGACGCATATTTTTTCTTATATAACTCTGTTTTTATATTGTGTTACCATGTTTTTTTTGTTCTTGTGTTTAAGCACTTGTTTGTTCTGTCTTATGTGCGTCCTAGACGCGAATAAATACTTTTTCTTTCTTTCTTTCATATTATGACGTCACATCAGGTTATCTGTGCTTTTTCTTATTGTGTAGGTCGGTAAACGAGCAGACGGATTACTTAATGGTAAGCAATCAGTCCCGCCCATGGACACCCGCAACACCAAAGGAGTTACGAGCGCGTTGCTGGCCTTTTAGGGGTTTCAGATATTAAGGGATTGAGAATGGATGGGAGGAGGGGAAGGGGTTGGGCTTCCGGCAACCTCACTCACATGGCGAAACATAACACTGTAGTTGTTTCACGCCGGTTTTCTGTGTGGCCGTGGTATCACTCCGGTCGAGCCGGCGCATTCGTGCCGTGGGGTAAGTAGGGAATCGAGGCATTAGGTCCTGATGTAGTAGGACCTTGCCATATTAGACTAGATATTATAAAAAATTGGCCCGCCCCTCAAACTCCACTTGGTGCTCTATTCCGATGTTCCTCGTGTAAGTGTTGTATGTTGTTTATCTTACATACCTGGTCATAAACATAGTAAATACTTAAAAAAAAACACAAATCGATGCAATCATTTGACAGGTATCGCGTTCATATACACACATTTTGGTGGTTCTTTATTTTTACATCATACAGATACTTACCAACCGCTTGTATTCTCTGCACCACCCTATGGTTGACTCTTGGAGAATGCCTTAAGGCATTAAGTGTGCAAAAGAATAAATAAGTTAAGGGATAAATAAATAATTCTCCGGAAAATGTGTGAAACATAAACACAAGTAACTTCCTAGAGCCCACTAAGGCTCTGATGTTCAGTCGAGTTGCGGTCCAAACAAGCTCAATGATGAACCTCGGCTCCGGCCTGGAGCAGGAGAAGAAACTAGGTATTTTAAGTCAGTAAGAGTCTGACAATCCCGCACGACCCAACCAGGGCGAAAAAGTCTTGATGAAAAAAAAATCAGTGTAGTGGATGGGTGACACCATGTTATTTTATTTTGTGTTCCAGGTGCTGTGCTTGCGTCCCCGTTGACGCAGCAACTGAGCAAAGCCATTGAAAATAAGTTTTCAGATATCAGTTATAGTCAATCAATCCACTTAGGGATACACGATTTGTACTCTACCGGTGACTTCGTTACTGTAGAAGGTAAATTCATTTATAATTTTATTTAATCTTATTTCTCTATCTCTTCAGGGTCTATCGAGTGTATGGTTGAACCTTGGAAGGTATTACTTAAGATGTGCAGAAATTAAAATACACATTACTGGACTAACAAGGGTTTTATAAGACGCCAGGATAAGTTCCCTGTACACAATAATAATAAAGACAATTAAAATAGTGCAACTCACTAACGCTCGGATTACCGTATATTTTTGTTGCAGTACCACCTGGTTAACATAACGTTATCTTTGGGCTGAATATAAGGCGAATTGGCTCTTTTGCAGCCGTGTTTACACTTTCATATTTATGGGAGTTTCAGTATCTAAGCTCGGCACTATATGGCTTTTGATACAGCGTCATACTTATATATGTGTAGTGGATACATAATATCCTAGTATTAGAATCCAATGTAATTCTTGTTTGCAGGAGTTCCATTGGAAAGCTTGATGTTGAAATGGAGTTCTTTCAAGAGTACGGGCGACTGTTTCGCCATGTCTCGTGATGGTCGATCATTTATGACAAAGTGCACGGAATCTCGACCTTATGTCTGTTACAAGAAGCTGGACAATCTAACGATGAACATTTGTGGAACATTCGATGATGGTAAGTGTAGAAATGACCAACATGGACATTTTACTATATATTGTCATGTTTGTAATAGTTATTTTGGAAAAAATCAAATTCTTTTATAGTCTTTGTTAAGTTTCTGACAGTCATTTGTTCTCACTCTACTGACACTCATGTTGGTCAAAAGTCAATTTCATTTATTACAATTAGACCGTTACATGCACTTTTAAACGTCGAACAAATTAAAAAAAATATAAAGTGTCAATCTTTCAGCCTGTCCTTCTAGTGAAGCTATTTGCTCGTTCCAAAGTGTAGATTCCGATGGAGAAGAACGAACACGAAACTCCATGGTTACTCTTTTTAAATCAGTTTCATATACTTATAGATTATTTGGTACATTATTTAGTATATTTATTCAGAGAAATTAATTAATGTATTTCATCGAAGTTGCAACGATTTATTTGTTTGACTTTCTAGCGTATCGATTGAACGAGAAGTCAGGCAGTTGCTATAAGAGACATTGGCAGCTTATGACCTGGCCAGACGCGTACAAGATATGTGCTGCTGAGGGAGGGTACCTGGTCATCTTGAACGACGCTACGGAGGCTGCCATCGTCAGAGATATGTTCCCAATACGACCAGGAAAAGCGAACGATTGGGAGAACTTCCACGTGGGTCTGCGGGCGTGGGGACCTGAACGTACTTGGATCACTATTCATGGTATGAAGTGTTCATTCATCACTCCTTCTTTAACGTCTCCAATTTCTTGATAGTGGCTGCAGTGGTCCTGCGCGAATGTTTCTCGATGGTTTTGATATTTTCTTATATCTGTATTCTTTTCATTGGCAGGAGAAAGAATAGAAGATGTATTCCATGATTGGAATCCGGGACAACCGGATAACTACATGGGCATTCAGAATAGCGGCTCCTTCATCAGACTTGGCACTCTAGACGATCACGCCTCAGATAAGAAATCCATGTTTGTGTGTGAGAAGGATCCTAAAGTAAAACGCTTCGAAGAGGTACCCGAAGGACTGTCGGAAGCTTTAGGGCAATATTAGACCGAAAATTGTTCTTAAATCCTTTACGTAAAATTTTTAATCCGTTGATTGCAAAGTTTAATAAATTGTAAATAGGTATTTGTCGATTGTGTTTATTTTGTGAAAAATAAAAAAAACCAAAATGTTCTTGATCTGGCAGTGAGTCACACTTATTAAAAGCTTTTATTGTTTGGAGTCGATGTAGTCTGAAGTCGACAGTGTAGATCCAATGGCCTCATAAAAAACCGGCGTGAAAAAAGACTTACTTTGTGGAATCGTGTGACTGAGGTCTACAATCCCCAAAACACTAATCCTGAAATACCTAACAAACCTCGATGTTTCGGGTCCCGATTGTTTGCCTCGCTATCCCATATTCTCACTACATAACATTACACTTTAGCTAGTACGAGTATAACATTTCTCTCACTTATAGAAAAAATATTTTTCATAACATTTAATCCAATTCAAAGTTACGCCTGATTCTGTAATTATTATATTAACAGGTTAAAGTGTAGAACATGAGTTTAAAAAATGACATTCAGACATTTGGGACGGTTTGTTTATAAGATTTACTTTTGACGACCTCGTTGGGTAATTATTTGTAGAGTTATGAGAATATCTGCTCTGGCTCATTTACAAAATATAGGTATACAGGGTGTAAAAAGACAATTAACGAAGCCGAAAGCCACGTATTGTACCCACTATTTGGATCATTTTTTTTAAGACCATAGCTGGAACTCCACGGGTTCTCGAGATACTGAAGGTCAAAGATGCATTTTTATATTTTTTTTTCGCATTTCAAATTATAGGTATTATTACAAAACTTTTTTCCAAACAAACATTACCTGATTTTTCGGTTTTGAAGCATTTGAAGTTACGAACAGTAATGTACGTAATAAATAAATGCAGAGCCGCACAAAAACATCGTGCATCGCAGTAGGATTTTTATTTTACAGAATTGTTTTGTTGTTGCGAAGTAAAACGTCGACCTACGTACTTATCACAGCGTTTTGATGCTAAGCTGTGAACCTACGCACACAATGACACGAAGCCCGTTTGCTTTACATTGCGCGCAATAAAAATTTTAAAAATAAAAGTCGTTTTCCATTGCTAATTTTAGCGTGAAGCTGCTTAGTTAGAACTGCAGTATGCGTAGTTAACGGCTTCGTTAAGTTAACTAAAAATCGCGGGTTACTCACGTGTAAATATTGAGAAAAGCTCTACTAGTTTCGAACCACAGAGGGGTTCTTCCTCATGAGCAGCGTGCGCAGACGCGGCGACGTCGCGCAGCCTACTGGTATACACGTGAGTAACCTGCGATTTTTAGTTAATTTAGTATGTCTCACGATAGTTATTATAAAAACATGGCTTCGTTAAGTGTCTTTTTACACCCTGTATAAGTGCCAGGAACCATCCCGTTCCTTTTCGTGCTCCGAGGAGGGCTGAGGTATGTTATTGCATGTAACCCGCAGCCCCGCGGATTTCGTCCGTCTTCGTACCATTAATAGTCTTAATGTTGTGCACGGACGATCAAGCCCGTGACGAGGCGAGAAAACGCGATTTGATTTTAAAAGGTCTGTTAAAGGAACTTAAACTTTAGAGTACAGTATTTTAGGTCCTTATATTTTCTGGGCACTGATGCAATTTGGTAAGTGCTGAGTTTCTACTTTAAACTTAATCTATTTGTATTGAAAGGGAATTTTAGGGTGTTTATTGCCGTAATGCGATGAAGTTTATTTGTTACTTAAAAAACATGCAATCTTAGAATCATTTCTTGTTTTGACAACGGTCGTAATCTATAATGTCTAGGCCAATCTGCGTCAAGTCGAGCGTGAAACAACCACTGCCGTACCGGCTTTTAGTGGAATCTAGCATCTGGCTTCACTGACGAACAGTCTTACAGACTAACATTATATTTTGACGTTTCAAAAGCACCTATTTATAGTTTAGTTGGGATAAATGACTTTGAATTGCGGACTTATAACCATTTGGACGCATTTTCAGACATCTATTTGAAAGTGAGCGTCCGTAACTGCCCGGGATTGCGGGGTAAGCGCAATAAGGCACCGCGCCCTCGGTCTAGAGTAGGAGAAAGAAGTGGTGGGGTTTCAGTCAGTGAGAGTCTGTTACTCCCTCTCGCCTCATCCTGGTCGGGAGAAGTCATTTGATGATAAAAAAAGCGTCTGTAGCTATGTAAAATTCCTCTTCGTATCTATATTTTTGAGTTAGCTGTTGAAGAAATGATGACGTTGGACCCATTTTCCGCATCATCGCATAAAAGTGTGATGTCTCATGCAATCATACTGTTTACCTGTGCTGGTCACAAGATGTGCTGCGTTATTGGCGTCCGTCCATCTGTCAGTCACACAGTCTCGTCTCTCCGTCTGCCAGCAGAAAGGTACACGCCTCATTTTGACGATTAATTGGGAATTAATAAGAGGTGATTAAATACTACGGTATTTTAACAATTGCTTCTTTGTTATGTGTGGTAGAGCCTTGCTTCGACACGAATGGGTCGGTTTGACCGGAGTGATACCACGGCCTCACAGAAAACCGGCGTGAAACAACTACAGTGATGTTTCAGAGGCCCAATCCGTCCCCTTCCCCAATCCCTAAATCTCCAAATCCCTAATCCCCAAAAGGTCGGCAAGGTACCCGTAGCTGCTCTGTTGTTGCCATGGGCTACGCTGATTGCTTACCATCAGGTAATCCATACGCCCGTTAGCCGACCTATCACTTAAAAAATAAAAGTTACACGCCACGTAACTGGTGCTGTTCAGCGTGTCGTGGGTTTGATTTTTTTCGGCTCTTGGTGGGGAAAGTCCTATTGTAAGAATGTGTAGTTAGGTGTTACAATTTTTTTGGTTCAGTAAACATTTCGGCGTAGAAGTTGGTGCTGGCTGGGCTCTCCTGTCTGTAACACAAACGCAGCTCTAATATTGAAAAAAAATAATTAATGTGTAAAAGGAGATGTAAGGTTTTTAATTAATGGTTTCTGATAGCCTTTTTTTTTGTGTGGGGAAAAACATTAAATGACTTCACCAATTTTAACCCAGAATATCTGATTCGATCTTGGTTTTTATAGAAACTTCATTCAGCTGTTATTCGAGTGGTTAATTATTTCGGTCTTAAGTGTGTCTCAGCGAGAGAGTCAGACTCTTACTACCTAAAAACCCCCCTGTTCCTTCTCCTGCTCTGGGCCGAGGTCGCGGTGACTCATTGCGCTTACCCCGGAACCCCGGCTGAACACCAGCTCTATAGGGCGGAACGCTATGCGCCGTACGGTCGGGCGGCGAGCTACCCTTACTCGCCGTCCGCAGACCCGCGCCTATGATGATTAACGTAAAATCCCAATTTGTTCAACTAAAAGCTATATGTGTTTGTTGCCATCAGACCACTACAGATGGGACCCAATCGTATGATATTCAGCCAGGGTTGCGGGTGTAAGCGCAATAATGTACCAGGATCGCGGCCTGGAGCAGGAGTAGCAACGAGGTGATTTTTTGGCAGTAAGAGTCTGGCATTCTCCCTCGCTGAGACACACTTAAGACCAGAACAATTGACCAATCGCAATCTAATATCTTTAAGACGGACTTTTGAATAACAGCTGAATGAAGTTTCTATAAAAACCAAGATCGAATCAATTCTGGGTTAAAACCGGCTAATTATTTCTTTGTTGTTAATTGTTCTTATAGGATCCGAACAAGGATCACGGAAATATTAGAGGTCACTGGATCTCGGTTCGATAGCAGCTTGAGAAATCAAAATTATAATTTGGAAACAATCTGAGGTTCCATAGAATCTCAGAGAAAACCAACCTGAAACAACCACAGCGTTGTGTTTCTCCATGCGATTGAAATTACCGTAGGCCCAATTTCCCTCCCTTAATAAATATCCAATCCCTAAAACTTCGAAACCCTAGACTACAAAGGGCTAGCAACGCACTTGTAACTTCATTGGTGTTGCAGGTTTCCATGGGCGACGGATGGCAAACGATCAGACAAAGAATATAAACAAGAGCAAATTACATTAATTTCTTCGCACAATTAAAGTATAAACGAATAAATAATTCCTTGTAAGTAAATGTACGTATAATCAATAAACCTCAATTTTACAATGAAACAAATCAAATTATAATGCAAACAGTAATCATGGTTAGGATAAATTGAATTCATTTGATACAATGACGAAATCGTGTAGCGCGAGGCGGCGCGGCGCTTCTTACATTTGGTAGGTACTCGATACCGACCCAATGTCACAGTGCAAACGATACGGTAGGCCCATCCTGATTATATTTTTTTTGTTTATTAATCGCGTCAATCCATGTGTAATGATAGCAAAATATGAGCATATTGGGTAATTTGTTCCAGACCATTAGAGCCATCTGAAAATAAAATTCTAATAACCCTATATAGTCAGTAGTAACTTAGAACTTAGTCAATAGCTGGAAACCAGTTGGCAGTCGTAGAAAGTTTAAAACCTTAAAACTCCCAAATGGCCTCAGCACGACACAGGAGTCGGGACTGGGTGTATTTTAACTAATAGGAATCGTTTGATCAGCGCCAAATTTGTGCGTGGCGGAATGAGCTCCAGCGCGTAGCGTTCCGTACAGGGTGAATGTTCAGCCAGTTTTGCGGGGCTAGAGCAATAAGGCATTGCGGCCTCGACCTACAGCAAGAGAATGAACGGGGGGTTTTTAGTTTGTAAGTTTGAAACTTCTTGGTTCACCTTGGACGAGAGAAGTCATTGGATGATGTTACCCTCACAAAAAAAGGAGTCTTTTCATGGTGTTCAATTAACAAAAATATGTGGACCTTCTGTGTGTATTAAGTACTCTATAACGCCAGTACCGTGCCCAAAGTAAATCCATTAATTGTAGGTAACATTTGTAATTCATGACCGTTCAAATTCAATTTGATTTACGAAATCAAGATGAGGTTCTTTATAATTTGTCATGTTTATTCTGGTTTCTGATTGCTTTTTAGGTACACTTTATAGATGTTATTCTGTTTTTCAGAGATCTAAGGTATGTCTGAAATAATTATGCATCCTCTTAAGAATGTTAAAGCTATAACGTTCATTGTTAGCGTTTAGAGTTTAGAGTATCTTTTTAACTTTGCATAGCATGGCATCTTTTTAAAGGTATGCTCGTGTCGTCTAATTGAATCCCCAATCGACAACCACAAAATCAGAAGAGTAACGATTGCGTTACGTTTGAATTGGGGAGAGAATATCCAAATCCAAACTAATATTATAAATGCGAAAGTAACTCTGTCTGTCTTTTCTTCACTCCTAAACTAATGAACCGATTTCTGTGATATTTGATACAGACATAGTTTGGAACTCCAGAAAGGAGATAGGATAGTTTTTATACCAAAAATCTGCAGGAAGTCACTATTCCACGCGAACGAAGTCGCGGACAAAAGCTAGTAGTTAGAATATTTTTTGCTGTTTTGGCTTATGTGCTAAGTATGGGAGAGCCATGCTTCGGCACGAATGGGTCGGCTCGACCGGAGTGATACCACGGCCTCACAGAAAACCGGCGTGAAATAACCACAATGTTGTGTTTTGCCGTGTCAGTGAGGTTACCGGAGGCCCAATCCTTCCCCTTCTCTAATCCCTCCCCAGTTCCTAAATCTCCAAATATCTAAAAGGTCGGCAACGTACTCGTAACTCATCCGTTGCGGGTGTCCATGGGCGGCGCTGATTGCTTACTATCAGGTAATCAGTCTGCTCGTTTGCCGACCTATTAAATAAAAAAAAAATGTCGTCAGAGGTTTGCAAAAATGATTGCATAATGTTGTTTAGAATAAGAATTAGCGACTAAATAATACAACTTTATAGTGGAGTTATGGGTCAATATATCGTTTTATTATGAGTTGACATGTTATTCTAGGTTTATTTTTTTTGGATTGCCTTCCGCACCCTTAAACAATCGACTTGACATAAAGAATTTGCATAACACATCCGCAGTTTTCATTTGTAACGTGAAAAACAAATCAACTCAGCTCCTCCCCCAGTACAATGAAGCGTGAATATAATATTTAGAAATCGTTTGTTTGTGTTGCAACATGTATGTGACACAGGCATGCGGACGTCGTGCCATAGTTGGGTGACGGGAAACGCTCGACGTTTGTATCATATTTATCCGACAGATTGATACTAGCCAATTTGTATATAAACATTACTGTGTGAATTTAATTTTATTGTTCTTTAATTATATTAATTTGTTCGTGTTTAGATGCTTTTGTACCTCATTCATACTTCACCGTCACCGATAAAGCATTACAGATCCTCCCAGTTCTTTTTTTTGAGGGTGGAATTCCCCGGCTTTTATATTGGGCCGTGTATGTGGTGGTCTGTTGACTTTTTGAGACGTGTCTCGTTCTGGTCGGGTGACGAGCTACCCTTGTTCGCCGTTTGTAGACCCGTTTACTTAACTTATGGTAGCCGCAAATAATCGCAAGATCCCCGTCCAGAGTGTTGCCTATTGCAGGTGCTGGGGTGTGAGGAGAAACTTTCCATCACGCACTTCGCCTTCTTCTCTTATTTGCGAGCACCACTGCTTCGCCTAAGGAGAAGACAGCTTTCCAGTTCTTCTAGCTCCACATCATGACCTCGACTAAGGCCGGGAGCGACAGGATAAACGTACCATTCCAGTCTTCTTGGATAATTATCTGTTCGTTGTAGGTACCTGTTCTCAATAATTTTGGCAGTTGGAATTGATCATCGATCAAACTGCACATATATTATGTTTAACATGTACTGGTTTGACACAACAATGATGTCGTGATCTTTATGAATGGAACATAGTTGGGATCCCACTCGTACTTGGGTTTGATTGACAGTCTCTGCGTGGTACACTGTTGGTAACTTATGTTAAAAACATACCGATGTTGATTTTAAAGAAGGTAGTCTTGGTGACATAGTTAAAAGCCTTGTCAAATAACTTGAGGCGGTCAACTCGGATTCGATTCTTAATCTGATAATTGTAATTGGTGGTCTGAGCGAACGAGCATGTAGAAAACCTGATGGTTAACAATTCGAACATATGGCCGCCTTTGACTGCCCTCAGGACCAGAAGTGAGAGTGCGTTGTGGGACTATTTGGAGATTTAGTGATTGGGGAGAGATCAGGGGATACTTTCCGTATTGGACCTCCATCAACCTCACTTACACGGTGAAACACAACGCTGTGGTTGTTCACGTCGATTTTCCATGAAGCCGTGGTGTCAATCCGGTCGAGCTGACCCGTTCGTGCCGAAACAGGGCTCCCACTCTACGTGTTTTCTTATAGTGAGTAAATTGAAAAAATATGAATATCACAGGCAGCACTTTAATTTCTGTCTCAATTTATATCAGTAATCGTTGTAACCTGATAAAATAAAGTCAAGAAGAGTACTTGACGATTGGTTAATTTTTATTTTTAGGCAACATACATATCCCTTTTGGCAAATATTGCTCACGGTTCCTTATCTGCCGGGTAATTTCTGACAAATTTTCGAGAAACCGTAAAAACCAAATCTTACATACACAATCCGAGAATCTATCAAGATACCGCTTTCTTAGCATTAGCACTTAAGACCAACTGTTTCAATAAATTGTTTAAGGCTTTCAGTGCCGAAAGAAAATTATTAAAGAAAATATTTTATTTTCTTTACAGTTGCCCAGCCACCGCGCCAACAACGTGCAGTCATGATTATTATCACTGGTCCATAAGTTTGATGTGATGTGAAAGTAGCTTTAGTCACACCCACAGACATTCCATCACAAGTTGCGAAAGAGGTGACTGAAGAGAAAACACATTTGGGGACAGGTAGCCACGTGACACTAAGGTAAAAGTACCTGTATCCGGCGGCTGAGACATGGCCAACATAACAATACAAACTGGAATGAGTGACAAATTAATTTTGCTTAGTTATTGTCCCAATAAATATTATTTTTAGCCGCCATTGTTCTTGCCTTTTATAAAATCTTTTGTTTAACCTATTTTGGCTTACCTCTATTTAAGTTGAGCGGTTATTAGTTTAGATCTGTTTGAAACTTGTCTGTGTCTGGTTTTGACACTGTGTTTAGTTAATTTGGAAATGAAACAAAAATATGTTGCTTTGATTTTTATGTAACGCATACTCAATGTGTTTGCAAATATAGTATTTTCAAAATGCCTGTCGCTTTTCTATTGTTTTCATAAATTTTCCAACAATCATATCTTATTCATGCGCCATGGATTTGAATAGAAATTTTCACTAAAAATTACTTTATCCAACAAAAAATAGGTATTGGATAGCTGTCAATTCTCTGTGTATGACTCACTCACACTAATTCAATGAAAATGGTGAATGTGAATGTGTCGCTATTACATTAAATTATCCAATAACAATCTCCCAGTTAATGCGTTGTGAACACGTTAGATTCTCACACCACCAATTAAGTAGTTATGATAACGACACACATATGTATTATATCGTATTTATTTAAATAATTCGTTCGGTGGAA